CCTACTGTTTCTGCAGCTTAAAATGAGATCGCATATAGATGCTAAATTAAGCTAAATTGTGTTGTTTTACTATTGTAGGCCAGGCTAACACGTGGGGTAATTGCTCTTGTGCATATATGTACAAGCATACACCTTGCAATAATAATGTCCTTTTATCCAACAAAGCCTAACTGCATATCATGAGACTTTGCTGGAGGGTCATGCATTTGTGATGTTTCTTCATCTATTGCACGTATTTATGCATGTGTGTGCGTAGTCTGTGTGGGAGCACAGACTACGAACTGGTGCTGGGCCTAACCTAGGTCAACGCAGACTCAAATGAATACCTGGTGCCGGGTGTGGTGCTGGCCGCCCACCCCTTCGTGTGCCGTACCGGCCTTCATAGGTGCTACTCGCTAACAGCACTTGTCCCTACAGTTTGTTAAGACTATACGGGTGATCTTTGCCTTTATAGTTTGGCGGGAAGGCGAGGCAGTGCCGTGGCTGGAGTCTCCGGACGATTCCCGCTATGGGGACCACAAGCACGTTGACCCGCGTGAGCGCGAGAGGGAGCAGCACGAGAAGAACAAACGGTGTGGGCTGCCGCAGTGCATTCTGGGGGTTGTTGTTGTTGTGCAGCCGAGCGACTTTTTAAGAGGGGGGGACCATTACGGTGTACGAGGCAAAATCTCGTCATGTCCCTTGCTGGGTCATTGCACAGTGATACAGACTTGGAATAAGCCTCACTATGCTTTTAGGTAGTCTTCAGCATACACAATGTAAGTTGTGGGTAATAAAAAAAAAATTGCGTTTCAGAAAATGCAATAGTTGAACATCGTCATGAGATTTTTAAAAATTATGTAAAGAGTTGTGTTCTCCAACCCTTAGCCAAAAATGTATCTTATCTTCCACAATTCTTTCCAACATCTGGAGATACGTCTTGTCAATTTGGTACCTATGTAAAACCTACTAGAGAAATTACTTCATCACTTGCATATGCATGTGTGTGCTTCTGTGAGTTGGTGTGTGTGCGCCTTTGTCATTGCTAATAGTACTTGCTGCAACAGCCTATATCGCTATATAGAGATATTTGTACGAGTATGGATTGTTCAGTGGTAAAGTGGTTTGCAAAAGACATTACCATCCTATCAACCTGGCTTTGACCCCTTTCCATAAAATCATCCGCGGGACATGTTTACTGAGCATTCCGTGGGCATCTGCTAGGTCGGTTTTTTGTCATTAACATGAACCTAGTTCAGTGTTGAAAGCATTGGCACCAGGTAGACAACCATGGCTGGGTATGGGTACTAGCCACACCGCCTCATCTACTAAAAGTTTCATTTGCACAGCCAATGAAGACTGTATAGGTAATTTAGTTTTACGTTTGTGTGTGTGCACCCATGCATGCAGTCTCCTAGACCCTGGAAACTCACTGCAGTACGATGAGTTTAAGAAGTGCTATGGCGAAATCCTCTATCGCTGGGGGCTCAAGGACAAGAGGGCAGAGGTGCTCAAGTTTGTTTCCTGTCCACCCGACCCTCACAAGGGTGTAGGTAAGTAGCTTTGGGCGACTGGTTTATTATCACCGGTATATTGCTAATACATCACCGGATGGAAATAACACTTAAACTGTTCGACTATGGGCCTCCTCCTCGATTAATGTTTGGTGTTTAATTAAGACGCTCTTACTGTGGAAAAACATTAATACGGAAGGCAAGTGTGTTACATGTCATGTCAATCATGTGATTCAACAAACCTCCCTTACCAAATTCGCATATTTTATCACCTGTTTCATTACATTTTAATTAAGTAGATGAAGGTCAGGCAAGACTCCTTATCTCTCTTGCCAGACATGACCTGAAAAATGGTCATTGCTCACAGTAACTCGTTCAGTTGCAGTACATCGGCTACCTTTGCAAAATGATGTTGCGGGATCACTATGGCGTCTGCTTCACAACTCTATGACATTACCATTCCGCTGTTATTTCTTCGCCGAATAGGTTTTTTATTGCATCAAAGAATCCCATCGCTTTGTTCCCAACAGAGTTCAGCACTTGCTGCTACCAGTGTGGCTGCGAGGCACGCAGCTCGCAGTGCGCCAACTGCAAGGGCTTCTCCTTCCAGTGCGCCGTGTGTCACGTCGCCGTGCGTGGCTCCTCCAACTTCTGCCTCTCGTGTGGCCACGGCGGCCACTCCAGCCACATGCTCGACTGGTTCTTGGGGCACAGCGAATGTCCCTCCGGCTGCGGTTGCCGCTGCCTGCAGCTCAACGCGTTCTGACCTCGGCGTGTTCGTCGGCAATGGAAAAATGCATCCCACCGACAAAAAAAAAAACATCGACGATGTAAATAATGTTTAACCGGCAGCAAAAGATGAATATATTATTACAGCTGTTAAAATATATATATAACAAATAATATCACAGAGTGAAAATACATTGCGGTCAGTGTTATCCAGTGATTTTGAGGCAAGCGTTGGTGGATCGTGTGGAAATGTGAAACTTTTAAACCTGCTGGGCTGTGTAATGGCCAAGAACATGGCAGTAGAGCTAATGGAATTGTTAACTCATCTGTACGGTCCATTGAATGTCATCTCCTCTTATGCATAGGCTTATTCTGACCACACATGCAAACCATTGCTTCAAATTTAATTGGCCCAACATTTTAATTCAGGATGCACTTGAAAAAATGGTGTGACTAAATTACACTTTCCTGAATAAATGACAATATTTGATCATTTTCACTTACAGCTGACATTTTATTCGAATAATGCTCACCCATCTCGACCTTAACACACTCTGGCAACATGAGTCGCCAGTGGAGCAAACCCCTATGATGGACCTATCTTATGCCACTGCTGAGATTAATCGCGTAATAATCTTTAGAAATACTTGGCTATGGGTACCTGGGTCGACCAGGCGTTTAATTCAGAGCCTTTTGATCCAGCGATCAACACTGGCCCATCGTGGGGTTGCGCCACCGTTTGCTAATATGTGTGCATGTGTCTCAGAACTCATTTGTTGGCCATTTAAAATATAAATGCTGCCTGGTACCTTTTGCTGCAGGGTAGTTTATATCTGATGGGATTAATTTTCTGACAATCTGCTTCCCAGTGCAACCATGGATTTAGTGTCCCCTGGTGGAACCGCTCTTACAACCCAGACATTATGGACCATGACCTAGTCCACGTTTTAATCATTATTCAAGTGCCAAGTACAAAGCTTGAGGAAATGTTGCAGACTTTAAGATTTTCCCCCAAGCTCAGAGCAGGGGTTTTAAACCCTGCCAAGGGTACAGGATAGAGTCTGTGCACAATGACCCCAAAATGTGAGTGCACTGATTATTCGGATACCCAGACATCTCCATTTAATTTGCATGGTTTAAAAATAACGGTTGTATTATTCGGCATTAAGCATCGTTGTTTTCTAGCAGTGGGTTATTATCTCTGCTCTGAGTTATGTGGCTTTTCCGGTTACATTTACAGCATGAGCGCACGTACAGATGTCATTCTTTTTCCTTGAACATATGGGCTGGGTGTGGTTTTCAATGCCTGGGCTGAGAAACGTAAGAGTAGCTGTTCTTAATGTTCACCCTCTTGGCGCGCCAGCCACTCTCCTCAAACCTCGGAAAAGTCGGGTGCTCCAACGCTTCACAAATGGGAAAGCTGGACCGTGTTGGACCACAAGATCCGATGTTGTAAACCACTTTTGAAGAGCCATAGTTGTATTATTGAGCATTGAAATGTGTGAATGGGCTGCACAAGGATGTGGTGTTGAACTCGAGATATTTGTCTTCATCCAAGGAGCCCTTTGTTTATTGCAGCAAGGTTTTGTGGTACTCGACATTGACCTGGGACTGGCAATCTGTGCAACCTTAGTCAAAGCCTAAGCCACACTCGTTGTCTGTATAGAACATTGGCAACTTTCGTAATAAACGTCCACAATGCAAGTCAAATAATCCCAATAAGGAAGAGTTGGATACTAGCTTGAGACTATTGCACTGTAGCACATTTTTAACACGATTGAATTCATTTGGTGTGCAATTTTTGCGACCTTAGGCAGAAGCCGAAGCCACCCTCATTAGCGGCTGTGCAACATTAGCATATTTTAATTCATTAACAATTTAAGTAAATCAGAAAGGTGAATTGTTAGATACTGGCTTGAGACTTTTGCACTGTAACATGTGTTTAATGTAAGGCTATCTCATTTTGTGTTCCAATTAACAAGAAATTCCGCCGTCCAAATCAGCAAAACAAGGTTATTTTAGGACGGGTCGGTTAATTGTTAAGTGTTAAATGTCTTGGGACTATGGTGTTAATCCTGGGCAGCAGTTGATGAGAAAATGACAGCGGTGTTGAGCTGAGTTGAATGCCTAACAGTCTCGTCTGTATGCCTCTGGAGACCGTTTGCTTTAAAATTGAAGGTTAAAAATAATATTTAAAAAATTAAGACGAATTTAACACGCAGTCTTTCACAACCGATGTTACTCATGATCACGTTTTTTGGGTTAACATGAATGTTAAATGTGTTGTAAACCTATCGTCCACCAGACGACCGATTAGTAAGTTTTGTCGCATGAACAGAACGTGACAATTAGTTACTTCAGCACACCCATTGTTAGAGAGCAAACCCACAAAATGTACAATTTGAGTACGACGTTTCGCTGATGATTACAACAATTATGGCAAATAGCTGATGATACTGGTTGGAATAAATGGCAAAACGTCATCCTCACATTGTACATGTTGTGGGTTTGCTGTCGAACACACTGGTGTGCTGAAGTCGTTAAGAATTGGCATGTTTTATTCATGCGACAAACCTTGCTAATCGACTTGAGGTGGGTTTACGACACAGTTACACGATTTAACCCAAAAAGCTTTATCATGGAAAGTTAAACTCATGCAAACCCATTGCCAGTGTGACTTGAAGGTCTCATCTTCTTGAGCTATTTGAAAGAGTGAAATAATCACATAATAGATTAGACGTCAGATCGCTCGGAACATTGCTGGTGCATTTAACACTCCTGGTTCGACTTTATTTATGAAGGATATGCGCACAGTATTTGCACGTTGTGTATCTAGTGCAATATATTCCCATAGGAATAACATTCATTTTCAGCAATTTTTTTGGTGGTAAAAAAAACTAAAATGTCAACATACAAATGCTATATTTTTTATTGTCTGGCCATATTTTCAAATGCTTCTGGTCCCTTATGAAATGATGACAATGTGGATCCACTTAGTTGACCAGGCTCTGAAAGCAGTTGGAACAATGGCAAATTTGACAGATGTAGTGCCTTCTTTCAGGGCTGATGAGATTGGGTTTAGCGGGGTATTGCAAAGCCATGCCAAAATATAATTAAAACCGAAAAGCGTTGCATTTTTTCCTGCACATTTCACCCAAATCCATGGGTTCTCTTCACTCTCCAATTTCCCAAATTGCATTTAAAATATAGATATCACATTGCTCGGTTACATAGTCATAGGGTTAGTTGTTCGTTTAACATCTTAATAATTGGTATGCGCATTTCATGAGATCTTTGCCAGTTTAGCGGTGCTATTTTCCTGTTCAGCATGTTCCATGTGTGAGAATTTGTCCACATGCTCACGAGACATGTATTTTAAACCACAAATTATGCCACAAATATCCTTTGTTGCTGATCAAGAGCTGCAAACTGGCCAAATAATTAGTTACTTCATGACAGCCAGACTGGCATTCTGATGTCAATAATATATGTTTAAAATAAGGGAATACTGGAATTACAAGGTAATAATTTGGTAAATAATAACTATACTGTTGTAATATTCGGTATGATTATTGTGCAGTTTATATAAATCGGCTATAACTGTCAGGACAGGACTTGGATGGGACCTCCCAGAATATCTAATAAACTAAAAACTAAACTTTTATTTTACCAGGTAAGGCCCACTGAGCAAAATAGCTCCTTATCAGAAGCAACATGGCCATAATTGATAGCTCAATGAAGTGTAAATTTATAGCAGCCAAATACTCTAAAACGCGTTTCTAAATGTGGAAGGAAAAACCTGTGGACCCAAAAAGAAATCCATGCGACCACGGAGATGAGCGAATGTGCATGATGGTTGAGCGTCCTTCATGGTCGTGTTTCTCAACCCAATTGTTTCAGCCAAAGGCGAGGTGGAGCAAGCCAGGTGAAAAGTGCAGATTGGACTGCGTAGAACGTCAATAAAAAATTGTGTACAGTGGTTTTAGTGTTGCTGACAGAATGATTGTTAAAACATGAAAAATGTAAGTACCCCTGTGGGGACTTCATTACTGTGAAATTAAAATAAATGTTTAAAGAACTGGACGCTTGAACCTTTAACTCTACGCTCAATTCTTGTCAATTCCTTTAGCAATTACACTACAATCCACTTTACAAATAACTGCACTTGCGGCAAATATTTAAATGCAACGCATGCAAAATGACCAGACTTCACATACATGATGTCATTGTTTTAGGACTCTGCATTAATTTCAACTGTCATACAGACTTCAAACATCTCATACATTATTATTCCTTTCCAGAAATATTTTCTGGTGACGTCTGTTAAAATGTAGTGACATCCATTTAGATTAGAAGGCACTTGGGTAGACGCATTTTATTTTCACAGCAGTTAACACACTCCCTCCTGATCTTGATAAATGCACTTTACTCCATGGACTTGCTCCACCAGACTATCCATTACTGAAACATACTCCCTGCTACCACACTTATCTGCCCCTACCAATCCAGGTGAAAACAGTCTCTTGATATTGAGTAATGGATGTGACTGGGACTGCATTAATCTACATCGATATAGTGTGTTTTTCAGAGTATTAAAGTCAGAGACATGGCCAGAGGAAGTATTTGCTAGATTAGTAAATTCGTGGCCCACTTCCACTCCCATCATCAAACAATGGCATTTTACACAACTCAGTTTGGTATATTATTTTATTTTATTATGTTTTATTTTTATTATTTTATTACTTCCCTTCTACGTGACTTTACCGAAAGAACCAAGAAGATGAATCCCTGCAGTCACGAAAGCTTTAAATCGAAATTCAGTTTGGTAAGTGAAATATAAAGGTAGGTTTGGCTTCAGAAAAAAAAAACATTCGTTACGAATGACCCTTTCAACCCGGCACCTCCATTGTTTTCTGAAGCTCGTGAAATGATCCTGAACCACTGAACTTTCACTTGGCCTTAAAGCAGTGATCCCAAAATTACAGTCCTTTAGTACACTTTTCCACATACAGTATACCAACTGCTGACCACATACAATACACTTAAGTTAATGTATGACTGAAAAATATTGTTAAGTGTGTAAATGTATCAATGCTGATGTGACAAATGAGAGTTTGAGAATACCATACTTTAGTCTCAAACCAAACAGTTGACTGTTATTAATAGAAATCGGTTTAGCAATCCTTTAAACAATTGTGCAGAACTAAATAAAGATCCCATAACAGTACATTTGGAAAATAAGGTGTCATGATGTATAGGTCAATTGTCTGACCATGAGTGCTATAATTATTCAGCCAATGCGGTGTCTGGTGCCAAAGGCCAGCCATTCATCAGAATTTTAACGTTGCTTTGGAAATTAATTGACATTGCTACAGGTCCGCCAAATAGTTGTCTCACATCGTTATGTCTCGACCAATCAGCTGGAATGTGACTGCGCCTCCCCTTCCATAAGCGCGTCCCAGAGCTGATTGGTTAGCTCGTATGTGCGCCCTTGCCACTCGAAGTGTGTGGGCGGAACGCTCTCGTCGTCGGACTCGTAGCGGAAGAAGGGGCTCAGCCTCATTGCCAGGTCCGAGGAGACGAGCCCCGCTCCGCCGAATTGCTCCGCTGCTGGGTGGTAGACGCGTCCGCTCGCTCGAGACATGCACAGCTGCTCCGGCTCAAAGGGCACGGTGAGCGCCGACCCAGCGCGGCCAAACGCCAGCTCCTGCCGGCCGCTGGCACCCATGCCCGGCGGCGTCAGCAGCTCCGTGAAGACGACGGGGCGGTCGTCGCAGTGAATGTAGTTGCGTTCGCGGCCGCACAGTGACAGCCAGGGAAACTCGCTCCTGTACCGTGGCGTGTCATTGGCCTGGAGCCGGTGGAAAAAGAACACCAAGAACTTCTTGTCTGTAGGACACAAGGGAGAATAAGGCAATTGGGTAAAACCATATCATTGTTCATTTCAATGTAGTGGTTGGTTGACCTCGAAGAAGTCGTATTATTACTCTTTGGTTATTTCGGTAAAGTTATGTAGGTAGAAAAAATAATAACAGATCACGACGTTTCAATCGCCACACAAGCAATCGTCTTCAGGTGGGAGAGAGAAAAGCCTGCTGAAACAAGTCCTTATATATAGAGCTGAGAGGGGGGGAGGGGGGGTGCCGCATCGGGCAAGAGGGTGGGGGCTAGAGATTGTGCCTCAGCGAGTGGGAAATCCAAAGATGGGAACCGAGATGGGAGGGGAAGGGGGGGGTGTGGTTGATGCACCTCCACGACGACGAAGAACTGAGGAGGTGGTCATTGTATTGTGAGATATTAGCATGTCAATGTGTAGTGACGGTATATCCGCCACTAGGGGGTTAGAGCGCGCAACAGGAGACAGAGAGAGACACACACAGACACAGAGAGAGACACAGAGAGAGAGACACCTAGAGAGACACACCTAGAGAGACACACAAACCGAGAGACACAGAGACACACAACAATCTGCTTGTCTTACAAGAGGCTAATAGGACCAATTGTTTGAATAAATTGGTTTCCTTTTAAAAAAAAATGCAACACATTCCAATCAATTATGTGTATACATTTCATGTACAAGCGCATTAATTGATTTAACAGCTGTCCCTACCTCTTTGATGTCCCTTAATTCATACCGTGAAGGGAAAATGTTACTTGGTTAAGTGTGACATTTGCAACATCCTTATCTGAACAAATTTTGCTTGGGTCTATGATTATTTTTTACACAGATTTGCATAAAAAGCTATCAAGGGCAAGTGTGGAAGGTGAACTCGGATTAAAATAAAGAGGCGAGAGAGCAAGCTGGCATACTTTTGGGAAACTAAATTTGATGGTGAAAAGCAACATTCCAATGTGCAAACAAAGGACAGTTTTCCATGGGTGCATATAACCTGCTAAGATTTCAGAAACACGTCCACTGACAAAATAGAACTGAAAAATATGCAAAGAGCACGCAAAATTATTCCGCAACAGCAACATATTGATCAAAGAACACAAATTAGAGACATTGATTTTAAGTAAATTAAGTAGGTTTGGACAAATTTTGATTTAAAGCTTTCGTGACTGCAGGGATTCATATTCTTGGTTGTTTCGGCAAAGTCACGTAGAAGGGAAATAATAAAATAAGGGAAATAATAAAATAAACCCTAAAACAACACAATGTTTTTTATATTTATTTTATTTTATTATTTCCCTTCTACGTGACTTTACCGAAAGAACCAAGAGTATGGGTTTGGACACTCGAGGTATGCTGGCCAATGGATGAGACTGGTGACAAAACGGCCAAGGAGAACATGCCCGGGATGGTGACCACGACAAAGACGGAGTACTATGCCGTACCTTTAAAGCACGAAGTGAAATTCTTGATTTTGGCATCATCGAGGAAGAGCTGAAGGAATACAAAAAAATGCAATCATCAGTGCATGTAAAAACATATTATTTCTCAAATGATTGAGAAACAGTGCAGCTGTTAGCGTGTTATAATTAACATTGTTTACGCGGTCTGCACATACATTTACATCGAAGAGTATGTGCAGATTTTTCAAGCGTTTTCCATATTCAAAGAAAAGTTGCTCGCGGAAGGGTTTTTTTTAATGGAAATATTGCCTTTCAGTAGGTCAACCAGCAAGGCCAACATGGCTCAAAGCTTAATTCTCTGGAAAGGGACTAATTATTGACATTTCCGTGTCACATGGGTTATCCAGGTGACTTTACCGAAAAAACCATACTAGGTATGTCATGGCAACAACCACCATTCGCCACTAAGTGGTGCCAGGCGATGTGACGTTAAGACCATGTCACGGCAAGACCGACACCACCCAATTCAAGGGCCCATTTTCACCATAAAAATATGAATAAAACATTGATATCCAACAGACTGAATCTGCTGGAGAAGTTTTTTTTTGCTTCTCCCCTAGCACCATTTAAGCAGGCACACAGAACAATTTAGAAATTACAAATCTAACCAGCAGTGTGGCCCACAAAACGTGTTTACTTCTGATTACACCAATGTTCTTCATTGTAAGGCCCATGGGCCACTGGCGGCCCCTGGTGGCCATTAGTGCGGCCCTGACGTGTAGCCCCCGACAATACACATCATGTGAAAACACCCCAATCGTGCTGTCAAACCAGATCTTTTCAAATGGTGTCTTATCAGCAAAAGTGCCCCCCCCCCTTAAAATGAGCGAAGAACGCTGGATTAGATGTGGAAGAAATAATTGTAGGGATTTGAACTACCGAAGCAATATTTTGTATGATCTATCAATTCGGGTGTAATGTTCCATTGATTGTGGTGTTCGTTCTTTCACCTGGCCCAGGTGATCAATGTAGTAGAAGTACTCGCGTATCCCCGGCTCGGGTGACTGTCCTTGCTCGAACAAAACGCGCTTGGCAGACCCCGAGACCGGGGCAACACCCGGTGAGGGCAGCCACAGGCGGCGAGGAAGGGACACACTGCTGGGCCAGCAAGCCACGTTGGAAAATAGACGGCAGGGTGGCGGAGGTGGTGGCAATGAGGCCACCGAAATGCATGGCCACTTGGAGCTCATTGGGCCACGATGGGGCATTCGTATAGCCGAGATTAAAGGTTTTACGTCCCAATCGGTGGCAGGCAAGGGGCTCGATAGCCATGAGGGCATTCCTCCACGACTTGAGCTATGACTAGAGGGCATTGGACCAGCCGAAATTAAGGGCTTTGGGCCACAAATTGCATCTAACGGCCCTAATGAGCGTGAGGATGAAACCGAGGGCAATGGGCCACGTCTGGAGGGCATTCGGTCACGACTAGAGGTCAACGGGTTTACATTAAAGTGCATCTGGGAGCCGAGAGGGCATGTGAATGAACGAAACGTGAGCAGAGTCAAGGCCATGTTGTGGGTTATGGAGACCCGGGCGACCAGCCGACGCGGACAGAGGGCCCACAGCGGCATGCTACGCAACCCACTGTAGCGAAAACTATTTACACGAACGGCTGTCGCAAGTTAAATAATATGATAAAGTCATTAAGTTCGCGTTTTTTTTGTTAAATACATTTTAGCACGTTAACGCATTCGCTTAAACGTGGCTCCGAAAATTCCCTTAACGTTAATGTGTTTTTTTTAATGTATAAATCGAGGCCTTGCCCCGGAATTCGTCAAGCCGCGCTGCGCACACCACCACCACCACCACCGACGACAACTCGGGCGGCGTTAACGCACGAACTTTTAAATATAGAGCAGCGACTCGTTAATTAATAACGTGAAGGCGATAATGAAATAGAACGAGCGTGTGACGACATACACCCTCCCCACGCTGTTAGTTACCCACGGTTCGCAGGGGAGAGTGTGGTAGGTGGTTAGGTGGGTGGGGAAATAACAAAAATAATCCACCACGGCCGGCGCTTCGGGACGACGCGTGGAAGCCTGCGAGAGAGAAGTTACCCCACGGGCAGAAGTTACACAAATACATTTACAAAGATCCTCCTTCGTGGAGCCCCGTAACAACAGGCTGTCGGGGCACATTTGCATGTTCGCGAGCAGCAACCTTGTGATGGCCGGCCGCTGTTGGCACACACGCGTGGATGATGGCCAGCAACCAATCTTAATTACGCTACCGCACCCCCCACATGCACAGAGAGAGACACGGATACATGCAACTACAACAACAACCGCCGCTATTCGCTACAAAGTGGCGGTGACGTCGCTTGTGCCAGGCGATGTGCACGTTAAGGCCACGTGAAGTGTCGAACCCCCGCTGCCAGGTCATGGGACAGACCCAGGTGGTGCCATGGGTCGACTGAGACGACTGGCCGATGCACCACCTGTGCCCTCCTATTGTGTCAACAAAGAACCCACCCCCATATAGCCCGTAGCAGACTGTTGGGGCAAGTGTTGTTAGCGAGCACCTATGAAGGCCGGCACTGTTACACACGAGGGTGGCCACCAGCAGGCCCCACCCCGCCTTTGGTTCAGATAATCGTCACTGGTGGGTTCGTATTCGCAGTGCAGCAGCGCTAAACGCCACACCACCGCTCCCCAAATACCACACAGCCATTGGCCACGGTGGCAATCACCAACCACGGCTACCGTGTGCCAGGCCAGGTGCACTTTGGGGCTATCGCGTGGATTGTCGTAATGCTCGCTCGCTGACGAGGAGGGAGGTCTCGGGAGAGACCCAGCAGTTGCCATGGGAGGTCGTCTGACCGAGATGACCTGCAGAGACTCCTGCAGACTGCACAACGTGCTGGGCCCTCTCCAATATTCGCACCACTTCAAAGTGCCCTCAGAGCAGAACGCGCAACGTGATGGGCCCGGCAGCCACCTCGCAGATGATTGGCCAAGACGTTGCCGCGGTAACGCAAAGCTCGTCGCCGATTGGCTGCGGCCGTTACCGCGGCAACGTAAACTCGGCGAGACTGACGCGGGACTCGACTCGGGCCTTCACCCGGTTCGGCGCGGGAAAACTATACATCTTGTTTATTCTTCTCCCCCCTTTATACGCGATTGTTTTATTGTACATGGTGTCTGTACGTGTTAGTTTTTTTTTACTTTAAGCGGGGGGAGGGGGGAGAGAGAAACAATTTCCTCACGAGTGGTTTGCGAGGGAGCGCGGTCCAATCAGACGTCGCCTTGTAGCCACTTCCGGAAGTTCCCGCCCCTACACGCGCCGCCATCCACCCGCGCTATAGCCCGTCGCTGCGCGCTCTATTAACAAACTACTCGGTATCGTAGCCTTCAGCTAAGTAACGTTCGTTGCGCTCGTCATTATTTACCTCCAGACAGCCTTCGTTGGGATTTTTTCATTGTTCGTTTGATTGGATTTCTGCTCCCCGCGCACCGGCGGAGGCGTTGGACTGGGGCTCCCGCCTGCGGCCTAGCGAAGGCTCCCCGCGGAGTTTCCAGGCAAGGCCGGGAATCCCGGCAGGGCCCGCAGAGGGAGTCGCAATGAGCGCGGCCAAGCCAACCAAGATATCATGGAAACTGCGTGAGTTCCTAACACATTTATACACTAACCCCCCACCCCCACACGTTACCTTAGCCATTGAGATAATTTTTAACAGAAGATGTAACGGGCTAACGTTACGGCCAGTGGCCCTTATTGAGGGTAAGGACGGGGAAGATATAGGAGACAGGTTGACTGACGTTTATTTGGACCGGAAAGTTCGGATGATGTAGATCAGAGATTCACCGACCTGTGTTGTTGAAGCGGAAGATTGGTTTGTCTGCAGTATACTGTAGTTGGAGAAGATATATTGACGACTTTTGGAGCAGTGATGTTGGTTAACTTACCTTTGGAGGAGATGTTGAACCAGAAATATCGGATGACATACACAGCGTAGAGGGACCTACTGACGTATTGCTGAAAGAGAGATATTGTTGACTGACGTTACAATTGGAGAAGAAACTGGATGAAAAGTTGGGCCTGAGAAATTATCGAGCTCATATAGCTTGATCAGATTAATCATCGTTGCAGCGCAAATATCGGATTTACATATTCGGTAGTTGAGGCAGAATTTACGAATTGTGAATTTATTGTAGTTGGAACATTTGTTGAAAATTTGAGCAAAGAGTGATTAAATAGTGGAGCAGGCGGTTTGTCTTGTACAGTCGTAGCAGAACAGCTGTTGACGGACTTAAAGTTGAATGTCAAATTAATCAATCTTTGTCCTCTACTCGGAAGAAGGGTCATTGCCAGAAACATTTTTTTTCACATTTTATGATAGATGTTGTGGTTCTATCCATCTGTTTGCACGCTGCCGCTAATAGAGTCTAGTAGTTTTGTATACACAACTATCTATTTTATTATTATGCAACTCTGTTTTGCACTACGGTGGTGTATTCATATTTAATGTGTACAGTATTTTATTTAGACATCGTTCAGAACAATTGAATTAATTCATATTCTGTCTTTGACCTAAAATGTCTTCTTTGGCCAAACTTAAGTCATGACAATGTCCTAGCCATGTTAACGTAGCTGTAGATGCCATTGTTAGGGCTTTCCAGTCATGAGATTGAATTCAAATCATGACACTGGTTAACTAGGCCCATCATCGAATCATCACACACGTCCCACCCTATTTAGTTACGTGAGTAGTATGGTCATCTGATGCGGTCGTCTTTGTCTCGTAGAGAAACCCTCATTTTCGAAAAGGTGGAGTTTTCAGCAGTAACTCAGGACCCTGAATGGAAATGGGCACTGCCTGCAAATCGCTCGGGCACGTGGAAGCCTTGACCACTTTGAGTCACAATATCAGTGAACGTACGAACATAACCTTTAGCCGCTAATGCTCACATATATACTCGTCAGACAAATTAATGCATTGTTGTTAAACACCACATTAAACAAAACTTGTTTTGACTAAAATGCTGTAACAATTAAGCAGCTTCAAGGCAGGTAGGTTCTCTTAAGCAGTTTAGTAAAATAATGTGGTTGAGCTGTCGGGCTAGTTGATGATACTGCTGCTCTAGTCACTTTTGGTCAATTTCCCTCAGCTTGATAGGAACTATATTGAGATTAAGCCAATAATATCGAATCAACAATGCTTGTTTGTGCCGAGTGCGTAGATATTGTGCTGTTTGCTTTATCTGTTGGCTTCATATCAGTGTTTAATTGCCAACAGGTGTGAGTGCATTGCTCTGTAATAAATTGACAGTTCAGCCTTGTGTATAAGTTCTTCCTAGAATATAATTTATTTAGCGCCTGCCTTTGAAACTGAATGTGTTTGTGACAGTGACACGCCTTCAAACTTTTGTATTTTTTGTGGTTATTGATAAGTTACGATCCACCCTTAGTGTGGCCACTTGAATGGCAAGAACAACATACAGTACAGTACTGTATACTCTAAATCACATCCTGAATTGCGTAAAATGTTCAGTGTGCAAATCGAGCATTATTTTTGTGAGCCATTGAGATGACATTTGTTGGTCAGTAGATGAAATAATATCGCTGTGGTACGTTTTGGCACATTACTGTATTTGAAGTTAATAATTCACAAGTGTTTTATCTATTGGTTATTCGAGCATGTCCTGGTGGCTTTCCCAGCACACATCTAATGATCAGTGTCCTGTTTCGGCTGCTTAATTGACATGTAAATAGAGCATTTCAAAAGGAATTTTCAATGTGCACCGGTAATGTGATATTGTCAAAGAGCAGGCTATGATACACACACTTGCTTTGTGCCGTGTATGACCTTAAACACATCACTTGTGACTGGATCCACTAAATAGTCTGAATAATACTCTTATGAACATGCTAGGTGTTATACATTTGCCTGTCCCCACGAAACTGTTTTTTTGTAAGAGACATGTTGTTAATACATGGGAGGGGACTCGTTACAGTTGTTTAATGTTACGAAACCAATAAAAAAAACTAGTCATGCCAGTTTTTTTTGATGGGAGACTTGATGGCTCGCTTTAAGTGGTCCAACGTTTTTCCACAGAATGAAATATAAAACTTCGCGGTTTCTTGAACAAGAGTACAAAAAACATTCGTCGTTGTGGCTAATTGGGGGTCTGAATATGTTTTCTGATTAGCTTGAAAAATGTATGTTGTTGATTTGTTAACTAAATGTAGAATGACATTGAAACAAAATGAACGAGAGCCCGAACAGAGGAAGTTGATGGCCAGTGTTTCAAGGGCACGTGTACACCGATGCTGACGCACCGATGGACATCAATTGTATGACAAAGGTCGAGGATAGTGTCTTGCACTCTAAGTATTGACGAATACATATCAAATTTCATACGTATGATGAGCATAGCGCTTTACCGTGTAGTTAGTGATGCATGTGGATGGACTGCAAAATACAGAATCCTATCGTGCGCACCTTAATGATCAATAGAGCAGCGTTCCGGTGGTCAGAGTCTTTGTGGTTATGTAGAAATATTTATGTATTTATATTCAGGTTCACTGTTTAGATGTTAAGGTATTTTCACGTGTTTGAGAAGGGCTGCCTTTTTTTCGAGCATTAATCAAAATCGCGTATGTTCACAGTATAGCTAACCGTATCTTAAACAGATAAATATTCACAGCCTGTTGCTGATTGTATTGGATAATGCAATGTAATTGTGTGTGTGTAAATCGTAGAAAGTACCGCCTCTCCATTCATAGGTGGGCTTCAGCCAGTCGAACCATCTCTCTTATAACCAGCCGAGGAGGAGGAGGGTACCATCGTGGTACCTTGGCCAGCGAGCCAGAAGGGAACAGATGGGGGATGATGGTTCAATGCACAGATGACGCTTAGTCGGGCCAATGCAAAGAATATGAAAGTTAATTGGTTTTTTACCCTTCTATCTGGCAACAAAACTGACACCTTTTTACAAGGAGTCATGTTTGCATAGACCACAATATCTGTAGTCATAATGCAAACAAAAAACACAACTCTGATAATGTGCACTGTCCTTGAAGTTGATTGGTCCACACCCTGAGACAGCTTTCCTAAGAGCCTAGTCTCACATGGGTTGGACCAGATGACGCCAAAAGGCGCAGCTAGAAGGGTAAAAAAACAATTATCATATTTTTACTGGCAAATGAGGTTCCAATGGAATATGAAAGTTGGCATTGTTGAGGCCTTCACGTGGATGCCTCGGACAACCGTTGTTGTCCTGCCCCCGCGCCTGCGATGAGCACGTTTGGTTACCTACGTTGCGAAAAAAGTTCAACATATATACAACAGTTACAGTATGAGGAGGTAACAATGTCCCAATGGTGGTGTCTGGGTGTATACTCTGAACAATAATCGTACTGATTATATTGTGATAATACGCAGTAATGACAGATGGTAATGGTGATCATTTTTGCCTGGTGATTATGGTTGGTGAATAATTATGGCCATAATTTGCTCTTCATAGCATACATGGAGAAGGACCATTACCCGAAACGTCGCCTATTGTATCTATTCCATTTCAAGGCAGTGTTATTGATGAATGTGTTTTTGTTATTTATTTGTGCAGTATTACCAAATTATAAATACATTCGTGGTCAGTTTTAAAATGCATACGTTGCCATGCAGTTCTGCTTATTCGGTATACAAATCATCATAGCTCGCTTATAAAAGGGGTTAGTCACTGGGTGGTAATAGGCAAAGATGGTCATTGATATATATCACACTTTATGGGTGTAATGGTGGTGCTGTGACGCAACGCGTAGCTACACAGACCGTAAACAAACCACATACTTCCTGGATACAGAACGACTGTACCTTTGTGTTAAGCGAGCTAAGACGGCGCACTATTGACCACAATCAACACGTCCTGCCTGAAAATCGCACACATTTTGAAAGAAAACAGTTTTTGCCGGTGTGTCACCGTGGCAATGCTTACCACGAACCCCCTGTTGTGCAATGCTTGTTGCGGCATCGATCATTTCAGTCTTAAAAAAGAGTAATCGTTTTGTTTGCCAAGGTAGCCACTTTCGGTGGCACAACTAAGCAGGACTGTAGATTCGGTGAACTTTGTTGGGGCACGTCGGCTGTGCCACGCGTAATTTATCACAGCGTTTCCATGTAGCCACGGGATGCTTAATTGCACATCAACCACATCAGGTTACCGAAATCAATTTGTCATTACATTCATGCTACATATGTATGACATTATGGCTTAATTGCTTAAATAAAGATTAGCATCTGCAGTTAAATACTTTTAATAGGGACAAAATGACTCTAAACTATTGCTTTAATTCATGGATCTGCAATGTTGCTTCAGATAATTGTTTTTAGCATCACAATTTTGTTTGTATTTCAGTCACACACAAAGCTTGTTGTGACTTGTCCGTAACAGTGAGTGGAGGTTAAAATTCAACGCCATTAAGAAAATGGTATTTTCCACAATTTGTCTCATGCCATATGAGTGTATTGCACCTTTGTGATGTAAGAGTGTTTTCCGTGTCTTTCAGTGGTTAAAGATATGCCAGCGTACACTAAAGGTGTATTGTGGGTGACAATTATTACCACATTGATTCTCCACCTTTAGTAACACTTCAGTTATTTTAATTCGTATAAAGAGTTGGTGTTAAAGTGGGTCATCTTACCACTAATTATTTTCACCTCTGAATAATTAATATAAGTTTCATAGTTTACAGCACTTTGTCAATATACTATTGGATGAACGCCTCCCATACATGTTGGTCATGGGCAGGGGTTAGCAACCTGCAGCTTCGGAGCTGCATGCGTCCCTTTATGAACTGCTTTGTAACATTATTTATTAAGAACCATCGTCTAATATTCACATGCATTGCGGTTCTTAAAATATTGAGGTTTTTTGTTGCAAAGTAAAAAAAAATGTCTCTCCTTGATAATAGTGGTGGCCGACCCCTTGTTATGGGGGTTGTTTGATCATGCTTCACCAAGCTGGTCAGCGTGGTTTGGTGAAGGCGGCCCGTGACCCATTCAAATATCATTCACTACTGATGTTAGCCATCGCTAGAAATAGAAGTCAATCATTGTACTACCGTTCGTCTCTTTATTATTGCATTATTAATTGATTCAATTAGTTTACTCTACTACTATGTATTACTTTGGTTTAACACTTAGGCTTTCACAACTGCAACAGGATTTCACCACAACTCTGGGTGTCCGTCTGATGATGCCAGTTGTAATTACTGGCGAAACGTCGTCCTCATATTGTACATGTTGTGGGTTTACTCTTCAATTCACCGGTGTGCTGTACTCGTAACGAATTGACATGCTATGTTTATGTGACAACCTTACTAAATGTCTGTGGTGGGTTTTAACAACACAATTATCCATAATATAGGTTTTTTTTGGGTTAGATCGCGAAAATATAAATGTGTCGTTAAACCCGCCACCACCTGACACAGCCAATTAGTAAGGTTTAGCACAAAACATGCCAATTCATTTATATTTACGCGATCTAACCCAAACACCTCTTATGATGTATTACTTGATTTGCTACCATGACTTCTACCTTGGTCAGGATCAATGGGCGCTCACATAGCTATAAGTACACATTTTGCTTGCTTTATTATTGTTGTGTCAGTATAAGAGGTGTGCTCGTTAATTAGATGTTAAGCTGATATTAAGTGTGACGTCTTCTTCAACGGCGGAGCCCTACCTTATCGGGGCAGAGAGGCTTGATTGCTTTGAAGACCTGAGTTGCTTTCCTGGTTCGAGGAACACATGCCAGTCAGATACTCAGTGAGAGATGAGACAAAATGTGCTCCCTTCACCAACCGGCACTGACCGGCGTAGTGTCAGCATCCCCCCCCCCCAAACTATTGCTGATAATGATGACATGTCAGGTTCTACCTGAGGGATTTGTTGCGCTGTGGGTGAGAGAATGATCTTTGCAAAATGATATATTATCTGATATATTTTCTAGCTACTTTATAAAAGCTGCTTTGCAAGGGTTATGAGTGGTTCAATGAGGGTAGCTAAAAGTGATATCGTGAATTGGAATGGGGGTATGGGGAGGGAGGTTAGTGGGTTCGGGAATTACGGGGTTACCTCGGGATGTAGGTAAGGGTGGGCCAAGGAGAAGAGGTGGGTGTTGGGGAAGGAGCAGAAACTCAGCAGGGAGGAGGGGTGCTTCTCGCTTCATGTGGAGGGGAAGTTTGGGGGGCAAGTAGGGAAAAGGAGTGGAAATGGGATTGTGCTCAAGGAGAGGGGGGGGACGGTTAGTAATAGGAGAGATTAAAAGTGGAGCGGGCGGGAGTGGACATAAAACGAGAGACAATCTTGGTGTAATGCTGCATATTATTGTTACAATTAGAACCTTTTTTCTACTGGACAGCTCATGATGGTACATGTAGATTGTTCCACATTGGCTTTATTGACTTTCTGTAAAATCACTTCATTAAGCTTCATGTATGTTTATAAGGAGGCTTGAATGTGCTTGTTTTATTGAACGTATTTAAACAGCAGTTATATTATGCTAAGCACACACGCACATAAGGATTAGCATTTGTTACTGAATGTTCACATACAAGGTATGTGCATGCAGATGTTTTCTAGTTCACCTTGAGCAGTCTACCTCTGCTCATGTTTACACTTAACAGTTTTTACTTTCTCCTCTTTTAATGTGGCGTGCCTCAATTAGTGCTCTTTTTATGCAAATGATACATCCGGGCCAGGGAGTCAGGTGATGTCAGGGGGAATATTGCTGAGTTAATTTAGCTTGTGTCAATGCAGTTAAGTATAATTAAGTTCGACCTGTGCTTTATTTGCCTTGATTGGCTTTTGCTTATTTTAGTGACCCAAGTCACGCTTGCAAATTATACCATCATAGTCTTGTGACTTTTGATAACAACAATATCAGAACAAGATTAGAGTGCAAAGTATAGAAAAGGTAAACGAATACAACTAAACTCTTCTTTTTTTCTTAGCAGTTAATGCCCAATTAGCTATTCGCTTATTTTTCAGAAGCCACCTGGCCACGATTTGGTACCGTGAATTACGTTCTGCACTGTTCCCAACCAACGCTGTACCGTGATGCATTGCACAGTTCCTATGATCACTGTTTCATTGCTTTCATGGCTTTATTTTGGTGATTTCGAAAAGTTTTTGGTTTGGCCATGTTTGTTTGTTGTAGTACGGAGTAAGGCTGTTGGCCTTAATCTAAGTTGTCTTGTGGTTGTTGTTGTTGTTTGACTTGCATCCCACTGGGATTTTTTCACACAGCGTTGGTGTACAGTGCTTTTTCTGCAATATTTTCCTGTCTTTTCTTGGATTTTCTGTTTGCACTTAGTCACATAGTCACTTTAGGATGTTTTCTTGTTCATGTTTTTGTTTTTTGTTTGTTACGGTTGCACCCGATTCAAGAGCCGAATGGCTCACAGGGCTATACCTAATAAATGAACTTGAACTTGATTCATTTAAAATTTTACCAGAAATTGAGTCGGCGATTTAATGTATATTCTTAAAGCTCACAATGTGTTATATGAGCTGTATGTAAGAATACATAACATTTCTTAGTGTTTATATATTATGGATTCATATGACCCCTATAGCCAATTTTTTTAAATTATTTAACATTTTACCTGGAAAGCCTCACTGTTTGACCAATACCAGTGACATTGTAACCAGTGGCCTGTACATTAACCAAACATGAAACTCATTGTCTTGAATCTAATTATGATCTTAAATCACAACCATTAATCTAATCACCAGGGACAGTGAATCAGTACAGCCTTAGTGTTTGCTATAATATGGTTGTGAATAGCCTTCAAGTTTGATTTGTAATAAGAAAAATATTTAGATAAAGTAGGAAATCCAGTTGGGCATGTATAATTTCTAAACACTTCGTGATTTCAGAGGGCGGTGGTGTTTTTATGCTAAAGGTATAATTACTGTCATAGTCGTATTTTTATTTGGAAGAGGCTGTACCATGGTGACAGCACATGATGGAATGTATTATGCCTTTTGATGACGGCTATGAAGGGTAAACACTCACAGTGGAGTCAATACACTTTGGGCACGTTTCTTTTTACAGTTGTCCTCTTCAGGGCCATGAGGTCAAGCTCTGCCTAAAATTTTGCTCTATCAGTATTGAGACTTTGCCGATTAGGCATCAGTCCCAATAATAGTCAAGGGTGTGACATTGTTCTGCAGAGATGGTTGGATTTGGCTGTAAAACAGATACAAAAAACCTAAATAAACCGAACAGGTCATTCATGTCAACGGATCAATCTTGTTGTCAATAACTTCTGTTGCGGTTAGGTTATGTCTTCGAAGGTCATGTAATTGGAATTTTTTTGGAATCCCAATTAGCCATTACTTTCCCTGAAAGCAGTGTTTTATATATACTGACAGTTGGTAGTTATCAAGGAAACTATTTTTGTACTGCCTGTTTTTGGCAACAAAGGTCACACGTAATATTAATTTTAATGTTTCTTATGAAGTCACCTAGTTCTTTGTACAGTAAACCATTTGACTTGCTGTTGGCCACACAGTTTTAGCTTCACATGAAGAATTAAGATTCCCAACATCGGTGGCAAATTGTATCTGAACTAGTTTTGCACCCACCATTTTCCCTCCATCAAGCCACAGTTACCAGTGTGGTGAAGAAGTCAAACAACTCCCACCATCGACACATCATGGGGAGGCCTTGATCCTGCAGTAGATAAAAAAAATGGCTGTAAATTATGATTCACAACATATAGCGCAGTTGCTATATTCCTCGCTATCGGCACCGCATGATCATTTCCGCACTCTCGCTTTCCCCCAGAGGAGTTTGTGGCGCACGGGAGCGACGTTTCGTGTCTGGCTCTCGGCCGCAACTCTGGCCGCGTCATGACAACGGGCGGTGAGGACCACAAGGTGAACCTGTGGGCCGTCGGCAAGCCCAACTGCATCATGGTACGTGGCCTGCAGACGTTACGATCTTGCTCTGTATTTGTCAGCTGCGTCGGTGTTGTAGCAGCGAACGTGTGTATGTACGTTGGACTTCTTTAGCACCGTACATAGCTGACTGCGCTAATCGGAGGAGTGGGGATGAGCACCAAACTAAACGGACAAAAACACATGCAGAGTATGTTAACATCTGTGATGGGACACGTGTCAAAACCAATACGTTATGCCAATATTTCCCTGCAGTGATATCAGTTCAAATGTGTTTTTTAAGCCACTGCATCAGGCAATGTTTATACCGCGCCTTTTATAGAAATGCCTTCCAATGTGTCATGTAGTGAATAGAGATGAAATTCTGTTATTGTGCATTGCACTAGCAAAAAAGACAAATTACTTTCTGAGCAATGCAGTATAAACATGAGAAAGAGACATAATTATCCAAAGAACGCTGCTAGAAAGTAAATGTATATAGCACAAGGCAGGCGCAGAGATGGTAAAACATAACTATAAACTCTAGTTTCCATTTTAAAATGCAGTCGCAAGTGTTGGCCGATTGTGTCATATGTTTTGCATGGTATTGAATGATCCATGTTGTTAAATTGCTTATGTGCTTAGGTACCAACTTGGTGAACAGATTGAGGTCATATTTTTGTGTCGCTGCCCATGGAATTAATGAAAACAACACGCTTCGTTTTACAGTGTGGTGTTGGTCACCTCGAAGTGGCATGCGCACCTCATCCAGTGCAGTGTCAGTCGTGCACGTTAAATGTGGTGCTGCGTTGCAGTGGTTTTCGTTGCAGTGTGACGTAACGGTTAATAATAAATGGTGGAAGCCTTGTTTTACAAATACCGACGCAACGAGTTCACCATCATGACAGGATTTGCTCCGGTCAAACACGGTTTGTGTGACGATTTCTCTGAATCCAAATTCACAGTGACAGGCTAATCAATGTATGACTGCTGCATCATGGAGGTGTTGCCCACGGGGGTGGTTCTGGCTTGTCAGTTGCCTCGCTCGCTCCAAATGTAACCCGTGACAGATTCGTCAGCGTTTTTACATGCCTTGCATACCCAAATTTGAGTTGTCGCAAGCAAAATTAGATAATAATATTGATTCAAGTGTTCTATGGGTATCAGTAAATATTTCTAATAATTTAAAAGCAAGGCTTCATAATATTATTCTCATGTTTAGGTATGACAGTGCACTTGACACATCATTTATATTTCTGCTGTCCAGTCGATGTGTCATTCCTTTCATTGACAGGGAACTCGCTGCCAAAGGGTACATATATAAAATTATTTCTTCCATATCATTCAGGCTTTCTGTTCATCTTAAGGGGTCAATTCAGTGTCCACACAGTGCAGAGTATGAGTCGGCCCTGGATTATTCAGCATACCAAGTCAGGTGTGGCCAACGTGCACTGCTTGTAAATATGCCATTCGTTCAGTCAATTGTATTGACACTCCCCGATGTCTGCTGGCTAGAAAAGGGGTTGAGTCATTTTGTTCCACATTGTGGATTTTAAATTGAGCGATTATTTTTCTCCATTCCTGCAAATGTCACTTCTGATAAACGTCAAGATGTCGGAGTGGCTCAACGACTGAGCAGGCTAACCACACTTTTAAAGTCTACCCAATTGTTGTTAAGCTGAAGGCCATATTGCAGTGCGAATAAGAATCCATAAAGGAGTTCAACATTTGTACAGTTCAACATTCGTACATACAGACTCTGACTTTTGAATGCAAGGGCTGTGGCAATTACGTTGTGTAATTGTAGTAGCGATGCTGAGGACACAATCCTTGTGTTGATAGCTAGAAATTGTCAAATATAGAATAAATGTCCTGTGTGCATTTTTGTTTCTTTTTTGTGTTCCTGTGTTTTAACATCACATGCTCCCTGTCCCATGTGTTTGCGTGTGTATGAATGTCTTTCTGTTTACCTTTGTAGCGTTTTAACGTATTATTATCAACTTGTGTGTTCTAAAATGTACAAGTGGTTTTTATCGTCCTCTTGTGGTTGTCTAGCGGCATTTGCTCCAACTTGCTTAATGATTAATGGCCATGTGTGCAAGGGAGTGGACGTGTGTGCAGATTAACTGGCAGTGTTTCAACACAAGAGTTTTGTTTTTCCAACATTAAATGTCATACATCAGGAGATGCAAAATCAGAAACCCATTGGTTACCACTGTGACTGCAGCTGTCTTGCTGGAATGTTAAAAGCCTTCCTATGCTTTCTGTTTCCGTCATTTGGAACGTCGGTGCCTGTATTTGCATACGTTTGCCTATGTTTTCAGGTGAATGCATGCATGCATTTAAACCTATTGTTTACATACAGTATATGTGTGTGTTTATGCTCAGTGTGGCCGGTGCAGTGTTTAACATACTATTCTTACTCCTGGTAACCCGGATTCAATTGTTGGCCAAACATGTTACGGATGGAAATTGATATTTAATCCTCTTCTGGGCCTCCTTCCCATATGTCGACTTTGCCCAAAATGTATACCTAGTATGATGCAAAGAACATCAGCACGAAGATGACAAGAGTGTTGAGGCATACATTTTTACCTCACCACCACTGTGTTCCATACCCACCTTAACCACTTGTTTTGACTACATTGAGTATTTTTCTCAGCGTCTTATCTCATTATTTCATGTATTCGTTCGGTTGCCGAACAAATACGTTATAAGGTCGCACTCATTACACACAAAGTGCTTGCCGCACATGAACCACAATACCTTGCCGATCTCAAGGAGCATAAACCGTCACGCAAATTATGGTCATCCTCACAGTGACTTTTGGCTAGCCACCGAACAAAGATGGTCACTGCATCACGCGCTTTCAGATGCGCTTTTGTAGCCGTCTGGAACGCTCTTCCTTGCAATATTAGGAAGCCACTGGAGCTATGCACTCGGTGAGGCCGACACATGAACACGTTGTAAAGAGGCCGCAACTGGTTGCCCCTTCAATTCTGCATCTATGCGCTTTGAAATCATCTAGATTGAAAACTCATTTCTTTAAAACTGCTTTTTGTGTTTAATTTGTTGTCCTTCCCCCGCACCTCCGATTAGCACTTTTGGCTACGTACGGTGCGAAAGAAGTTCAACATACATAAATTCACCCGTACATCTTCCCCACCGAATATGCATTTGCCGCCTGCACGCTGTGTTTCTAACAGAGCCTGTCGGGGCACACGTCCCCAGTAGAGTGCGTGCGGTTTAAGGACACGGAGGAGCTGGTACTCGCCGGGTCGCGGTCGGGCGCTCTCAAAATCTGGGATCTCGAAGCCGCCAAGAGTAAGTGTCCACCTTCCTCGTGCTGCGCCACCAAAATTAATTCGTCGACATCTCTTCTTAGGCGCGCAAATGAAGGTGTCGTCAAATGGACTGGCATTCAGTTTATCTTTCTGTTAGTAGCGGTGTACTTGAAGAAGAAATTTACCGAGCCAAGAAAATATGTAATTGTTTTGACTGAATTTCTCTGTTGTTGCAAGCCATAATATTCTCCAGAAGGCAGCCAGACCAAAATATATACATATTTCTTACAAGTTACTTAACAAAAACAGTCTGTTAATATTTAAATTAATATCTTATTTAATGTATAATCTCAAAACATTTTCTACTTTATAGTTTTATATTTTTTATTCAAGAAAGGCTTGTTGAGTCAGTTTTTTTATTTTTAAAAGGTCCTAACTTTGTAAGAGTTGGGCAGTTATTTCTAGTATTGTTGCATGTGAGCAGAAGCCAGTGTCAGGAGAGTTCATACTTCCAAGGAGCTAGTCTGTCTTATTTTATAGTCTTAGGTAATGACATTTTCACAATATTTAAAAGCAAGGTATAATTGTTCGTAAAATCAGTGGCCATATTTTAAACGTGTAAAACAAAAAGCTGTTTTTGAACTAAATATAGCGTCAAACCAGTGCTGTGACGCTGTGAATCCAAGAAGTAATCAATTTGTGTGCACTGAGCTTTAATGCAGAAAATTCAACTGTCAAGCCAGGCATTCGATCATACATGGCCTCAGCACCTGCCTTAGCCACACGGGGGGGGGGGGGGGGGGGGGGGGACCATCGTGTTTCTAACGCCTCGCTTTGTGCTCCGTGCGTGCCGCGTGGTTGCCCTCCGTAGTTGTGCGGACGTTGACGGGACACAAGTCCAGTGTACGGAGTCTCGACTTTCACCCGTATGGGGAGTACGTCGCCTCTGGCTCACTGGACACCAATGTCAAGGTGTGATGCCTATGTCCGCTTGTGTGAAGCTGAGCGATGGTTTTTTTATAATGTCGATTTGTCGTATGAGCTGCTGTGTGTTACCAGGCTGCTGCAGAGAGTCTTAATCCATAACTCACACAGCCTTCCCAGTATGATACCACCACACTGAGTCCTCAGCCCAATATGTTAAAACAAATCTGATTAATTAATATATCTATTAAGATCAGTGATCTTTTTCGTGATGGAAGTCTGCATAAGCATATTTGTGTAGGATCATATTTATTATCCAGTATGTTGACAGGATATATCATTTTTTAAATAAACCATTGGCCATGAATATTGGTTTGCTTCTCATGAATGACTTGAACATTGAGCAATCTGCTTCACCCATCATTGTGATTGACAACACTAGGCTTCAGAGTTCATATTCCTACTGTTGCTGTCATTTATCCTATTGGTAATGTGTTGCGGCCTCTGGCGGTCACTGCACTTGGAAACGGAATAGCCTGTGTTGGAGTTACAGGCAGTGGTCTTTTTGTCACCAATCTGGCATTCGAGCTGAATTTGAACCGAATATTCTGCCAGTCGCGTATAGCTGTCACGGCAATGAATGTTGCATGACTGGTTTGAAATTGCAACGTTAACAATAAAAAAAATAATGTTTTTCACAGCTCTGGGACATCAGGCGCAAGGGATGCATATTCACCTACAAGGTAAGATTTAACAGTTTAGCTCTAATCTAGATTTGAAGTTTTCGTGACTGCTGGGATCCATACTCTTTGGTTCTTTCGGTAAAGTCACGTAGGTATAAAATAAATTAATTTAATCACGACGTTTTGGGCGCAACACAAGCGTCCGTCATCAGGTGGGACAACCACAGCAAGAAACAATTGCTGAAGTTTAGCTCTCTTTTTTTGTCGAAATGCGGAGCATGTCCTGCCAGTCATCTTTAGCTGACTTTTGTCAGGGTAATGTATCAGTTAAGATGAAACTCTGAAGCTCTCAAAGGGGTGAGCATCATAATGCGTTGGTATATTTACGTGAATAAAAAAAAAACTGCCGTCATGAATAAGAGAAGATTATAATTGATGTGGGCTTAATGTATTTGAGGACTTTTTATGTTTAAAATAATGAATTATATGTAAATACATAACAAACTTTCCACTTTTTGGGTAAATCTTGTGAAAGCTATACCCATTCCATATCTTACTTTCTGATCACTGTAATTTTCCCATTGGTTGGCCTATCTGAAAAGCAACAGTGTTTGACTACACAGAAAAAAGCATTTTTTACATTTTGTACAAGATTCGAGCGGTAACGGTGCACTTCCCACATCAAATCATTATCAAAGTCACAAAAAGCGTGACTTGAAGTCAGGATTTGGGACGGCGTGTGCCAAATCACCTGTGGATGCACTGCATCAGAGAGGAGGTTGGCTTATACGGCTGCCAACTTAGCAGTAGACCATGGACCCACATCAAATAATCAGTGGGGGGTTTCAAATCCTTGCATCACCGCTACACACAATGGGTAACTCCAAAGGAAATGTCCCGCATCCATATTGTGGCCCCAACAGAGGCACTCTGTCCTCTGCCATTGCTACCAGCACAGAGTTTGAAGTTCGTATCGCATGGCTGAGTTTCATTATTATTCTTATGATTATTTTTTTTTTATTAATCCCAAAGGGGTGCACCCTTGGAGAATCATGGTGGACCCTGACATGCAGAAGTGGTAGTGTCAAATGCTCCATCATGGTCATTTAGCTTTTATTATTTAAATATGGTAACATGTTTTTTTTCTCCACCATGTTTTTTTAAAAATTACATTAAGGTCACAGCTGAGATATCACAGTGCTCTTCACATTAGGCTGCAGTTGTGTAAGTGAAATGGGCAGAGTGTGGGTGGGGGGGGGGAGTAAAGGAGCATAAAGAACATTTTGTGAGTTTGAGGCAGTGCACTTAGTTAATGAATTTGAGATTTTAATCCGAGGTTTTCTTGTGCAATATTTCTAGAAAACTGATGCCCGCTCGTCGCTCCGTCGTCCAGAAGGTGGCAGCAGTGTCCTCTGTACGAGCCGAACTGTCTCGTTGACATTGCCTCGTCTCCTCTCTCCCCCCTCCCTGGCCACCATGCCACAGGGCCACACAGACTGTGTCAACTGCTTGCGGTTTAGCCCTGACGGGCGCTGGATCGCATCTGCTGGCGAGGATGGGACAGCCAAGGTACCAGCAGCTCGCACAGTCGCTGGAATCAAGAGTGCTAGTGCCTAAGAGTCTTGCTCCCTCTTTTCGGTTTGAATTCTACTGTTTAAGAATGTCCTGCTTTGGTGCGTAGTGTAAGTAGGATGCGTGCAGTTATTTGTGTATTTTATGGAAGTGGGTGGGCTGCTACAAACCTGGCGACATGGTCACAGCTCATGTTATTGTCAACTCAGCCTCAAATCGGTTGCTTGTGCCATGTGTAAACATCATCACTGGGGAGATAAATGTGGTCAAGTGTGGTGCTCGCCATACCACCCCCCCCCCTTGTGTGCCATTCAGGCTTGGTGATTCCATCAGAACTTTGCCCAAAGTCTGTGAAAGGCTATATGAGGATCAATTTTTTTATGTTCAGAAATGATGGCTTGATTATTGGCATACTACTCAATGGCCCACACGACCTAGTTTCGATATGTGGCCACACCACAATTGGTCTTCCTAGTCAGGAAAGGGTACCTGGTATAATGAGGCAACATCATTACTGGCGAGACGACAGATGGTGGTACCATTGCTTCACATCGTGTGCTCGACTGGACTTCAAAATCCGTGTCCTCAATAGAGCATTATGATAAATGTATTATGCAATGACCTACACTGTTCATATTCACATTATTACTTGGGTTAATGTGATGTTTAAATTGTGCCAATTTCTGAATGCAATATTGTCATGTATTATATACATAATGAATTATTACTTAATCCTGAGCAGTACTAATTATAGGTGGCCCAATAGGCCAAGGTCAGTGCCATACATTTGTGACTTTCTCTACAGATGAACGTCGCTTACCTGAACACGACTGCGATATACGCAGTAGGATTCATAACATTTCCTTTTAAGTTTTAATTAGTCTAGGTAATTTTAATGATTGAAATTCGACTGGTAAAAACTGGTGGATGGTTAAATTGTATTTATGGCTGCCGCACGCATTAGCCATGCCGTCAGGTGGATTTTAAAATGAAGGGGAAAAAATTAAATACATTCCTCACAAATTGCAACTGTAAAATATATATTTAATACACAGTCCTAGACACTTCATTATTGCGAAGGTCACACATTTTTTTGCAACGAAATTGTTTTTTCAATTGTCCACCCAAGTGCGCATTGAGCAGTTTACCTCCCATTTCAGTCCCACGTGTATTTACTGCACCCCCCCCCCCCCTCATTCTTCTATTGTGGAGGTATGATCCCAACCATGAATAGTTAATGTGTCACGAGGGCACATCTGCATTTGTGCTATAAATGTTGCAAGCTTTGAAAAGCAACTCGGAGCGAGGAAAGCGTGCGTGTATGAAAATTTAATGATGCTGGGTCTCCTCGGATCTGAATTTCCATACTGTACGTGAAAATGACCCTTGTGGAAAGGAGACGTAACATAAAGCATAACACTCGGCAGCACACGGCAGTATTTATGGATTTTTTTAAAAATCGTTATGTAAGGGTGTTTTTATTTCACCCAAATAATGGGTTTATTGGAAGTGATAGATATGCTTGGGAAGGATTCATTTTTCGCCCTTTTTGCTCTCCCAGCGTTTACAGTAATAGTTCTCTGGGGCATCGTGATTTAATAATAATGATGGCTATTTTGAATCTTCAGCAGCCTCGCTGAATCACAAGACTTTCAGGAGGTTACTGCATTGGGATGTTTGGTTAATACCAGGAATGAGTGTTTGGCTTGTGGGAGGAAAAGAGTGTAACAAGATAAAACCGATGCCGTTAACACATGGCAACGTTGGAGGTTACCCATACAAGTCCTAACCAGGCTCGACACTGCTTAGCTTCTGAGGTCCTATGATCAGCTGCTTTTAATACGAGTTGGTGTTATATTCAAAATTAATTCGTTTACATATTCTACAGAGTATACTGTTGCCCTAGACGGTCCTTGAAAATGTACAAGCATAATGATTTGTTTTTCTTTATTGCTGCAACCTGATGTAGGGAGTTCCCATGCAATCAGGACCAGCCATATCTAGTAATGCACTGCTCCATCATCATCATCGGAGCAACTGGTAATTGTAAACCTAAGCAAGATAGCCATTTATTTAAAGTGGGGGGGGGGGGGTTGACAAAATAACATGTGCAAGTATAACATTTCACAACTGGATTTTTTCGTGTGTGCTATCATTGATGATTATTCTGACACCATACAACACACCACATTTGACAACCTGGTTTCACTTCATATGGACTCAAACCCAAAGACCTTGGTGGTGCTGGATCACATACTGGAACGTGGGCAGTTTAATTAGTATTATCCTCACGAGCCATTCGGTCACCTCCATTTGGTGCACAGTATTGATTGGTATGCTGAATGAATGATTGAACATGTCTAGGTGTGTGTCTGTGTGTGCATGTGTGGCGAGTGGTAGTGTCATGCACCGCGCTACGAACCCGGGAACCCGAGTTCAATTCCCGCTCATGGCCAACACCAGTGACGATTATCTGAACCACTCCTGGGCATCCCCTAGGTCGACTCAGCCTCAAATGAGTACCTGGTGTGGTGTGTAAACATCACCACTAGGGAGATGAAGGCGGTCGGGCGTGGTGCTGGCCACCCACCCCCTCGTGTACTGTTGCGGCCTTGATAGGTGCTCGCTAATAGCACTTGTCCCTACAGTCTGTTAAGGCTATATGGGGGATCTTTATCTTTATGTGTGGCGAGTGGTAGTGTCATGCACTGCGCTACGAACCCGGGAACCCGAGTTCAATTCCCGCTCATGGCCAACACAGGTGACGCATATCTGAATCGTTCCTGGGTCTCCCCTGGGTCGACTCGGCCTCAAATGAGTACCTGGTGCGGGAGTGAGACAATCGCCACTGGGGAGACAAAGGCGGCCAGGCGTGGTGCTGACCACTCACCTCCTTCGTGTGCCGTGCTATAAGGGAGATTTTTGTGTTTGGTGTTACAGCTTTGGGACCTGACTGCTGGCAAGCTGCTGTACGAGTTTACAGATCACATGGCTGCTGTCAGCTCACTGGAGTTCCACCCCAACGAGTTCTTGCTTGTCACGGGCAGTGCCGACAGGTGGGGCTTTTACCGCACGCAGAGCTGCTCTGCTCGGCAACTCTTCCCTCGTTTATAGTTTTTTTTTCTCTCCTAATATTTGGCAGTGTATCGTCGTAACGGAACGTTTATGAACGTGAAAAAATGCGCAACTTTTAGTGATGCTGATTCAATAGGACGTGTGAATGGTGGAGTACTGGGGCTATTGGCAAAAGCGGAGTTTCATTTTGTAAATTTGCTGTCCACATTTATCTTCATGTAATAGCCCAAAGACAATATAGCATTAGCCTTTGAGCTCAGTTATTTTTTGCAATTTTTTATAAATAAATAATTTGCTATCAATGTGATGGATAGAAATGCTATCGGCCATTGTTTATACGTAAAACATTTTATTGCTACCGTCTGTTGCTGTTGTATCATTCAATCGTTTGAAAATGTTTACGTGCTGTGTTTAGTCTGTGTACAGTATTATCTATTGTGTAAAATAATTTGTTGAATTTGCTGGAGAATAAAGCGGCTGAATTTGTTTGTGTTCGTCAGGACGGTGCGGTTCTGGGACCTTGAAAAATTTCAATTGGTTAGCGCCTCAGAAGGGGAAGCTTGCGGTGTCAGGTACCCGCACCATTAACATCCACCCGTACCATACAGGCACACACTAACGCTGTCAGAAAGTAACACCCAACCCATCCATACAGTAAGCATCAACGCAGGGGACACTGGCACAAAGTATGCCCACACCTCGGCCACCCCTACCCTGGGATCACCTGGAATGAGGAATACGACTTTGCTCTATTTTTGTGCATGCACATTGCACTTTGAAATGTGAGCTAACACCCGCTCTCCAGTCGGTGAAATTCCCTATCAACTAGAAATGTCACGGGCAAAAAAAAAAAATGCCATGACTAGCTATTCCCCTTGCACAGCCATTACAGGGAACGCACAACAGTGTATGATCTCAATAATAATAACTTAGATTTATAAGGTGCCCTTAAATAATGGGTCTCAGAGGGCTATGCATATAAAGGAAGGGCAATAAGCGAGAAGTAACCGGGGAGAGAAAGACTAAAGAGACGAGAGAGATCACTAGAGAGAGAGGAGGCCTTGTTAATACAGCTGGTGGGATCTTCAGCCGGGAATTGGTCTCCATCGACGGCGAGTTCCTGACCTCCCAAATGCGAGGGAATTCCAGAGTCTGGGTATCGTGCAGACAAAAACCCGGTGGTCACCCCAGGTTCGAAGCCTGGAGCCCAGTTACGCTGAGTAGGGTGCAATCGGTTGATCTTAGAGATCTGAGTGGCGAGAAGCCCATTTAAAGCCTCGAACACAAGTAGGAGAATCTTAAACTCCAATGCAGGTTTGAACTGGAAGATAATTTTAAGTGGGGGCATAATTTTGCATCGCAGTTTAATCTTAACTACAAGCCTAAACTGGTTAAAAGTTATTATTCCTAATAAGGGTAGATGATTGCATATGTATTCTGTTGTATATTTACTGATGGCTAAAAGCAGTGGATAAACACACCCATCAGCATCCGTCAGGTCCCAGCTGTACCACAATCTGTCTCACTTACATTCACCAATCGTACCACCCTGTATGCACAGTGGTCATGTGTTGTGTCTTCTGTCCTTTTGCTGCCATTCTATCGATAGTCATCAAACAACTATAATCCTTTTCGTTATGTGTCCTGTCAAATCCCACTTACATGTTTTAATGGTCACATTGCATTCTTGCCATGGTGTTTCAAAATGTCGCACTTTCATAGGGGCCTGTGAAAATGAGTGTTGTTAAACGATCTTTGGCTACATAAACGGGTGGTTCCCTGTGTCTCCGTGTGTGCGCTCCGATCACCTTTTCGGCCTAGGTGCGTGCTCTTTAACCCGGACGGCTCGTGCCTATTCAGCGGCTCCCAAGACATGATGCGCGTCATGGGATGGGAGCCCTTCCGCTGCTTCGACTCGCTGCACGTGGGCTGGGGCAAGCTGGCTGACCTTTCCATCCTCTCCAACCAGCTGGTGCGAGCTTCTAACCAGTTCCTGCCTCGATGCCCGATTGTACACGTGCCTGTCTTTACATATTAATACCTTTATATGTGTGTGCCGAATGAAATGTCTGCCATCATGCCTACCTCTTGACAGATGTTCTATTGTATCATTGTTCATTATCATGGATATCGTCGCCACTGTTTTTTGCAGCTGTCTCTCCCCGCTTTCATATTTTTGTTTGTTTCTCTCCTCGAGCATGCCTCCCTTTCGCTGCCAATTTCTCGAAAAATGTTCTAATATGTTAGCGGGACCCCCCCCCCCAATGCATTCCTGTTCCCGCTGCGTGCAGATCGGCGCCTCGTTTCAAAAATCGACGGTGTCCGTGTACATCGTGGACCTGGCGCAGGTGAACAAAAGTGGCCTGGGCCTGCTCGCGGCGGACAGGCCAGCTGCCCCTCTCTCGCCCAACACCACGCCGTCGAGAGCAAACTACGTGCGCCCGCACACCAGCAGCTCCAAGCAGGCCAAGTATGTGGCCAGCGAGCAGGCAGCACTCAGACCTGTCTCCTCAATGACGTGTGCAACGTCTGCCGTTAGAGCCGTCTCATAGTAGTTTTGGCCCATGGGATTCCCTGACAGTTCAATGCAGGTCGCTTTTAGCCCTGACACGTTGAGACGTCATAATATTTCATTCGCAAATCTCCGATGAGGCAATGCACGTGTATCACACATTCAGAAACAATGTTCTGGAAATCAAAATTAAACCAAGTGGTTTGTTTAATGCTTGAAACAGGTTTGAAAGATGATGGCATGGTTTAATGTATGGTGGAGATAAAGTATGGATGCCTGATGTGAGTAGTGCCAAGTCCATGTACGTAGATTTTTAAACTGTTCATTAAACCATACAAATTAAGTTTTATACTTCGGTATTTCACGGTTGATACATATTTGTGTGTTTGCGTTAGGTTGTGTAATCTGATGATGCTGGATGTAATATCCAGAGAAATGTTGTTACTCATTTAGATGTTGTGAGATTACTCTCCCAACATCACCGGTGTACTGAAGCAGTAATAAATCTGGCACGTTTGTTCACGTGACACCTTTATTACTTACAATTTGTGTGAAAGAAGTTCCTTTCACGGTTTTGCACCACAGTAAACTTGGGAGGTTTGAGCGTGACATTCAAGTGACATGAAGGATGGATTCTTATGTTCATGAATTCTTGCGTTCTTTTATGTGAAATATATATAGAGCAAGCTTCTGTACGGCGGTAGATAATGTTTAATCACTTGCATGCTTTTGAATGAGCTTGCGGTTGCACTGCAAGTGCTCAACAAAAATTCTATGCATATTGTTGTCTACTTTGCATTTGCATTTCACTGCTCACAATAAATAAACACATTCCCTTATTCCCAGGATTCACAGAAATACTATAATAAATATTACGGAATTATAAATATTACAAAATGCAAACACGCAAGTGTGCTGGCTTTTTTTAATTACCACAGTATAAAATAATTCATCCATGGGCATTTATTCGTTTTCTCTTTGGGACACACTACAATCAAATATGGATATGGGTAATGAAGTGATGCACCAAAAGATTAGGTTTTTTTTAGCGTGCATGTCTGTGTGTAAGTTAGGGGCATTTCACTACGAATCTGATGGCCTTGAGTTTCATTCCCGCTCACGACCAGTAACAGTGGCGAATATTTGAACTGGTCCTGGACCTCCCCTAGGTCGACTCAGCCTTAAATGAGTACCTGGTGTGGTATGTAAACATCACAAATGTGGAATCAAACGTGGCCGGGCGTGGAGTTGGTCACCCACCCGCTCGTGTGCCATGCCGCCCATATAGGTGCTCCACAACAGCACAGCCTACAGCAGACGAAGAATCTGCGTCGGGCTATGTGGGGAATGTGTGTCTTTGTGCGTATGTGTGCGTGTAAACAATGTGCAGCGAGATGAAAAGAGAACCAGAGCAGGAGGCGCGAGGAGCAAACGGGGATGAAGAGGAAGAGGAATCTTCATCAGCAGAAATTACCAACCCTGACGAGTACAAGAAGATCTTCCAGCCCAGCCCAATGTTAGGTCAGTAGCGGTATGACCCACTGGCCCTTTGGGAGTTATACACCTTCAGCAAAAGTGGGGCCCGCGCACACTCTTAGACCGTATAGATAAAGGAAGGGAAAGTTTTGTTTGTTTTCTGCTAGCTTGCTTGCTCGTTAATTTAATGACTGTTCGGAGGCTGGATTTCTTCACGTAATTTGTTAACGAGGAGAAAGGGCAATTCAATGGAGTGTGCCGGTGACCAGTGTGAATAATCGGTGGCAGTGGAAATTGTGAAGTAGAACACCGTTCTTTGTTCTGGTTGGGGATAATTTTTGTTTTGAATACTTTTTGGCACTAAGAGAGAGTGGAGTTGAAATCGGTGCCTGTTCAGACTTGTTTGTGTATAAATATGGGCTTAAGCAAACGATAAAAGCTACTAATGTGGTGTCATTGTGTACATATATTGATAATAATTTATTGAGGGAGTGTCGGATATCTTCATTAAATTGTATAATAGTGACAAGATCTTTGTGCGATCGAGTTCAGTCATAAAATGTTAAGAACATGACATTTTCATCAGGAAAAAAACCGTTAAAAGTAAAGTGTTTCATAATAATGATGTGTGAAACGATCTTGCGAGAAAATTAAAAGCCTAATGACCATATTTTTCAGACCGAACACCTCCCAAAAAAGCCGAACCCTTTCCTGCCCCTCCAGAGGAAGGTACTATAACAGTCCCATTTTGTGGACATACATTAGTTCACATGATGCTTTACCCAGTTTGGATGGGCTCACTAATAGTTAATCTGCATTCCACTTGAAGGTGCTGTGTACGTGTATGCTTGCAGTAACCCGCTGTCATGTTTCGGTCAGCAAAGATCGATGCTTGCGTTTAAGATATAATCTTAACTCTCTATTTTTTCGGTTGATTGTTTAATCACATTGGCTGTGGTGGGTGTGTTGCGTCCACTTGCAGATGGACTTCTCGGGAAGAACGTTCTAGCTGTTGTTCATAATGACCGACCACTGACCAAAGCCAAGAGACAGGTACTTGTCACACGGGGCAACCCTTGCTGAAGTAGATTTTCTAATTTTGTAACTAACCGTTATCAACCGCCGAATGGTATAATTGGCTGTTGCAAGACAGCTTGAATAGAACGTGAGCATGTGTACGTGTCTAGATAGTTAATGGTTTCACTTCTGTCATGCTCATACACATTTGGTATTGCTCTGGAGTCGTCATTGAACATTGTTATTGATATTCCTTGATGTTGTTACGAAAGGTCCGTATGACTTTCAATTCTAACTTATACCATTGTGCCAACAACTGCTGCTTGTTCCAGCTGTTACAGCCATATGTTAATCAGTTTCATGGTGATAATGTCTAATTGCAAAAGTTACAATAGTGGCATCTTCCAAGATCGTTTCTTATTTTAGGCTTCAACCATCTGCCAACTTAATGTTTCAATAAACATGCAGTCTGTTCCTGTATGTTTCAATTGTGCCTTGGAATTTCCTTGAACAACCTTGGCAGCAAGCATTGCATCACCCTGTGCCAAAGAACTACCCAAGAAGATAACATCACAGAACTACTTTGCAGTAAATTCAATAAGTGGGAAGAAAGCGTAATTCAAAATAATATAAATAAATATATAGGCTTCTTATAATCGATTGGCAGTTCTTGCCACTTGCCCTATTATAGATGTGTTTATTGCATGCCAATAAAATAAAACATATTTTGTGTTTTTTTAATGTGTAGCCAGGCATAGCAAGTCTATGAAATCATGAACCCCACTTCACTTAAAAACCTAGTTTAACCACTGGCAGTTACCCAAATTCATACCCAGCATCTCAGCGGTGCCAGATTAAGGTTCTGACAGGGTGTTAGCCCCATTATCTTCATTTTGTTTTATGCCAGAAAGCTTCACTGGGTCTCCATACTTAATTTTTCGCATGGCCCTTCTTAGAATGTGTGGCCGTTCCTTTTAGAGTAAAATTGTATTATTATGCAATGATTAATTATAATCTTGATATTTCTATATCACCATCAACGGAATAAAATAGGCGTATGACAAAATGTAAACGTATTAAATTGTACATCATCATGATACGCATTTCCCCAACGGACTGGCGTACACAAAATACCTAAGCGCTTAATATGTGTGACTGATCAGGTTATATCTTAGTGACATCGCATCAGACGTGCATTAATTTACTTGTCATGTGGCAGCTGAGGTAAAGTGAAACTCTTCGGGGGGAAAAAACACACGTGTCTCTCACCTGAGATTTTATAGTGCTTGGGCGGATGTGTGGATGTGATACTCGGGCTCATGCCCAGCTCATCTGTGACCTTGGTTCATTTTGTGGCTCCTTCCGAGAACAGACAGCTTGCTTTGCAGGATCGGTGTCACGTGTGTGTGCGTAGTTACCATTTTGGAGGCTTTTTCTTTGTGTTTAGTTTGTCAGTATAGGAACAGACTATTGCGTGCCTATGTCGAGGCAAAAATCTGCCTGGAAAACTGTGCACAATTGCTAAGTTTTCTATGCAATACAGGATGTCCTTTGGAAATTAGCTGTATGTATTTAATTCTAGATTTGAAGCTTTCGTGACTGCAAAGATTCATATTCTTAGGTTTTTTCGGTTAAGTCACGTAGGTAAAACATCAAAATAAAAATAAAATAAAAAATCATGACGTTTCGGAGGCAACACAAGTCTCCGTCATCAGGTGGGACCGTCACAGCCGAATTAGCTGCATCAAGTGCAGCTAAATCTTGATGCAGCTAATTCGGCTGTGACGGTCCCACCTGATGACGGAGACTTGTGTTGCCTCCGAAACGTCGTGATTTTTTATTTAATTTTTATTTTGATGTTTTACTTACGTGACTTAACCGAAAAAACCTAAGAATAGCTGTATGTAGCTCGTGAATCTATGTTTGTATATGTGGAAAAGGCAATTTCACATTATAGCTCGTGCATTTTAGCCTTGAACTTAATTTTATTTCAAATATTATTCTAAATTATTCATAAAAAAAATAAACTTTAACATTTTTTACTGAAATTACCACAATGGTATGGCATTTGCTTGTGCTTTGGCTCATTGTCTCGGGCAAATGACATTTAACTATATCATCTGTCTGGTGAGCTAAGCGAGATCGCAGTGTGCTTAAGATAAGGCTTGTTATTCAGCCTCGGGTACACCGTATTATTTTTTGTGGGCCAGCAGCTCAAAATCATTGACAGACCACCGGCAATTTATCAAAGCCGCCCACGAAGCCATTGGTTCTTGATTGCCGGAGACATCTTTATAAATGGGAAAATGCTGGAGCACTTGTTTAGGACTGAGCGCGAGGTTGTGAATGTCAATTATGGCTCCATTTTCATGCAGGAAAAAAACTAGCACGTATCCAGGTCACGTGCTGTCAAGTCTGCCACGATCACGTCAGTGCAATACGTGGCTTCATGCTCCACTTGAATCCCTTTATAGTTTGTATTTGGATCTGGTCTGCTTTGATTTCTATACCGGTTTGACTTCATCTCCATGACTACACCCCTATGACCTGTCATAAAAATGAGATCCAGGGCATGAGGTCGTATGCTGAGAAATGTATTTGTACAGCCCATTGCAAGTGATTAATTGTCAGCGGTGTGTGACGATTGGACTCGGCAATCACACTTTAACTCATAAGCAATCTGGCACCTGTTAAGAGCATTTGTTTAGACCATATTTGCTAGAATATTGTGGTTGTCAGCAAACAGTCCAGAGACTATTTAAGTTAGATATTTTAAAGCAAGTGATTCATTTTGCTACTGAATACTAATGACCATAAATTATTTGTTTTCTGTTGCACTTACAAAATATTAGCACACACACGTTATTAGACTCTCAAAAAGTCCACACTGATTTTGTATTACATTCAAAGAAGGGATGAAATGTAATCAAATATGTTAATTATTTATGGCCTTTTTACAAGCACAAATTGAATGTTCATAAAAAATGATTTTAATAATTAAACACACATTTACTGGTGTATGTGGAAGCACAATAATATACTCTTTGGTTCTTTCGGTAAAGTCACGTAGAAAGAAAATAAATTAAATAATAGAATATCACGTTTCGATTGCTGCGGTCACGAAAGCTTCAAATCACAATAATATATTTTCATAAAGTCTGGCCATTAGTGAACTAAAATTAGCGTGAAAATCGTGAATTATTCAAACAAATCTTTCAAATGTAGTGTCTGAATTTAAAGCCAAGCCCAGCTCACTGTAATTGTGGGGGAACTTAAAATTTAAAGATCATTCATTCAATGGCACTCAGTCAGAAATGTTGAAAATAAGAGTAATATGCTTCCTTCACTATGCACTTACACTTATTTAATATTCTAAGGTAAAATAACAATGCAATTAATAACGCGCACAGTATTTCACTTCAGTGACCGTGACTCTGAGACGCGGAGCCAAGCTCAGTGTCATTTGAAAGCCAGGCGAAATAGGGGTGCCTTTATGTGTCTCTTGAAAGGAGATGTAGGTTGATTGCTGCTAATTTGCAGTAGGATGCCGTTCCATGGAGGGGGCTTCCATGGAGAAACAATGCCGGGCAGTGACATTCCTGTTCCTTGGTATACAGAGGAGGCTGTGAGTCATGCTGCTGTGAAGAGTTCTCCAATGAGCTGTAGTGCAGGGGGACCGGAGAGCGAAGAAAGATAGTGTGGACAACCGAAAGTATAGGCGCATTGGCACAGGCAGCAGGCGATCTTGTAGCTGACCATGCTGGCAATGGGAAGCCAGTGGAGGGAGTTGCAGATGACAGGCACCATGCGTGATGGTTTTGCAACCTTCGGAATTGAGATAATTTCATGAGGATCAGACGGAGTCAAAATAGTCGTGGCGGGACCCGACTATGTTGCTTGTGAGGACATTTGCCAGTTCAGTGGTGATTAGTGGACGTAAGTGACTAAGGCCCTGAATTGCTGGTTGCAAGGTCTGGATGATGTGGTTGGTGTGGCTGTCGAAGGATAATTGTGGAGTCAAGAGTGACGCCGAGGAATTTGATGTCGCCGGAGAAATGGATGGTGGAGCCAGCGATTAATATGCTAGAAGGGAGCGTGGATGTGGTGAGTCGCGACCTGGCGCCGAGCAGGATGGAATCTCTCCTCGAAGCATTCGAGGAGAGATTCTGGGCTTAGAACCACAGTTGTAAAGTGGCAGCGCACTCAAGAGCCTCTCTAGTGCAGAGGCATTGGTGGAATCAACAGCGGTGAAGAGTAGGCCGTCATGCGCATAGGAATGCTGTTTGACATCAAAGCCCCTAATGCGGTGGCATATAGGAAATGTCTAGGCCACGAACAGCTGGGGCTGAGGAGAGAAGCTTGAGGGACTCCGCATGAGAGCTTGAGTTCCACCGATGAAGACACTCCCCCACTCTGGCTGAATAATTGCTGCCTGAAAGCCAGGACGTTATCCATTGTCAGGCTGGGCCACTGATACCAAAGTGAGATTCCAGGAGGCCAATGAGGAAAAGGTGGTTAATGGTGTCGAACTAATAATAATTTGTTGTGCGACTGCTTCGGAGCTGATTAGCCAAATTGCATTGAGATGGAATCGTTTGTTTAGAGTGACACATACAAAGCTAATGTCAACTTAACCTTTCAAAGTCCTTTAAATAATTTGAAACCATTGAGAAAACTTGCATCATACTTGTCAGATTTGGGGGAAATATATAGTTGAAACAAGAGAATTTGAAACCAGGTCAATATTTTTGGGAAACGCCATACAATGAAGTAACTTAAAGCAATAAATGTAATAATTTTAAATAGACGTTTTATCATAAGCAACCAACAGGTGCGGTGCATTTTGTAATAAGCACAAATAGCATCTAATATGTTTTAGACCATTTAAATTCCAAGGGTTTGGTTAAATGCATATCAACCTCCAAATAGGGCATTTGTACCTGCCCATCAGTGATGCATTTAGTCCGGGTTAGTGTCACTCACCCCTCATAGTAAACAGTGCTGTGACGACGCACTGCAATATAAATTTCTGTATTTGAGACGATAAAAGTCACAACAATTTGGTTTATTTTTGTAGATTAGCACAAGATGATAATAAAAATGTGTTTTTAGGCTTACTTCTTATTCTGTATTCTAAAATTTGTATCCATATATGTAATGTTACGGACAATAATAGGAGTGTTTATAATCCACCGTCACTGTTTGGGCCGGTGAAATGGCACAGCTCGTCAAATATTTAATATCTCTATTACAAGCCCATTTATAAGGCATCTCTATATTCAGATTGTTGCCATTACATTGGCTGGTGTGAGTCGCAGAGCCAGGCACCATGTATTTTTTAAAGTTCTACATTCCGTAATTGCCAAGAACCACCCCACACGTTGCCAAATGTTTTAACTGAAATTGAATAAACCATTTTCTTTTGCGCGTGGTATAAATCAACGCGGCGAATGTGAAAATCATGCCTCTTCATTTAAATGGAAATGCGTTTTGACTGCTACGACACATTTTTTGTGAAACCGCTTTGTAATATTAGACAAAATTGATTATCAGAGGCAGTTTGACAATTTATTGTAAACATTATTGGCACTAGACAATATACCAGTATTGTGATTCATGTTTACGTTATAATTTTTTAGTAAATTAAGTTTCAATTACAAATTCGTAGTGATCACACTGCTCAGTGGATAAAGGATGACAATCCATTCCTTAGTTAATCAAGCGTGCTCTTTCATGCTAATTCCACTGTGCAATTGAAAATATGGTTTTAATTAAGTCTAATACAAGTGAAAGAAGACTGGCCCTTTTCTTTTGTCCACAAGGAAGGGCTTTATTTCACGGCACGGGTCCACTCCTTCTTTCTCGCTGTCTCCCGCAACACCCTGAACGCCTCCTCCCGCTCCTTCTTTTAACCTCTTCCTGGCTCCGCCCTTTGTCGCACTCCGTCTCCACCAATCATCATCCTCTCTTACCCTCACCTGGCCTAACCGTACCACCTGATGCTCACCCAACCCTCCAGCTCTTTTCCCTTTGGAATGTTCCGGCCAATCCTCTTTCTGCCCGTGCTCTAACCAATCTGAGCGTAGAGTGTTTGCTCCAGCCTTCTTGAGTACTCTGACCCAGGGATCGTGTGTGGTAATCGCTACACAAGTGTTAGATTGGTCAAACAGGATTAAAGAGTGTTCGCATTAAAGAGGGGCAAAAGTACATGAAATCCTCGCTGACCCAAGTGTTTCCTGAGGCAGAACATGTTTATCAGGGGGAGGGCCCCAACAGTTGACTGAGAATTATAGATTTTAAGTTTTCGTGACTGCAAGGATCCATACTCTTTAGTTTTTTCGGTAAAGTCACGTTGATAAAAAAAAAATCGGACCTGGATCTTGTGTTTGTTTAGAATTTTGGAAATCTTTTTGGTAACGCCTGCTATTTGCTGGAGCAGTCTACACCTGATGACGGCTGCTTGTGTTGCTTCCGAAACGTCGTGATTTAATTTATTTGTTTTCATTTTAAATTATTTGATATTTTTTACCTACGTGACTTTACCGGAAAAAAACAAAGAGTATAGTTGACTGACAGTGTGGAAGTTTCATGTAAAACTCTACTTTAATTGGCAAAGAGAGATTTTGAAATCCATTTAGAAAGAGGAAAATTAAAATAAATCGAGTTTATAAAAATTGTGCAGCTTGGAATAATGAATTATTTAAGTAGTTGGTAATATATTCAATAATCGGTTATTATACCATGTCTCATATTTAGTGTTAAGCTTCAGTTCACATACGACTGCTATCCTACTATAATAAGTTAATATATTTAGGTGAGTATATTCATATGTTAATAATTGGATCTATAAAATAGAATTAATAATACATTCATTTGTAATGATTCATATCTAGTTTAAATCTGATTGGTTAATCCTGTAAGGGCATGACATCTATTTAAGAAACTTGAATTTTTATTTTGGCCGCCTGAACCTTGTCCTGATAATTATTGACGTCGTTTCAAACAAAACACCTTGTCTCATTTGGCTGTGAGAATTTGCAATCATTATCGACTGGGCTGAGACTTTTAAAATGTACTACACTTGAAAACCCGTTTTCATCACAGTTGGCTTGCCCAGTTTCAGGCCAGGATCTCAGCAGCGCTAGCTCAGTGTTCTGACCTCCGAGCCGCCGTTCCACTCGGAGTCGTCGCCGGTTTTAACGTTAAAAACGTCTACACAGGTCCCATCGGTGGTGGTCAGCGAGGATCCGGCAACCAATCAGACGGAGGCAGCTGTGGTACCTGGAGGCAGGAAGGCCCCTTTGGGTTTACGGGCGGCCGACTTCTTACCCGTAAGTTGTTGTTTGTGTCTTTTGCATGTCAAAAGCATAGGATTTAGGCGTCGTTTCATCCAATTCGTGAGGCACTCTGGGTGTTATGAGATTAAACTTCATTATTATAATAATGTTCGCTGTTTTGTCATCAAGTCATTCCACTTCGATGATTGTAAATGGAGCTTATACTCTTAGGTTTTTTCGGTAAAGTCACGTAGGTAAAAATAAAAATAAAGGATAAATATAATAGGAATAATAATAGAAATAAAATAATAAATCACGACGTTTCGGAGGCAACACAAGTCTCCGTCATCAGGTGAGACCGTCACAGCTAAATTTACTGTATCAAAGTTAGCTGTGACGGTCCCACCTGATGACGGAGACTTGTGTTGCTTCCGAAACGTCGTGATCAATTATCTTATTATTTAATTATTTTTTGCCTACGTGACTTTACCGAAAAACCTAAGAGTATGAATCCTTGCAGTCACGAAAGCTTCAAATCTAGAATAAATGGAGCTTATTTCATTTCAGTAGTCTTTAGGTAAATTGTGGAGAACCCAATGCCACAATGACTTAGTTTTGAAGAGAGACCTCTAAGTCATTAAAATAAATACAAAGATAATTTATATATTTCAGTGCATGCACAATAAATAAATGAATCGGATGTTAACGCACTTTATAATGTAATCAAACTTACCACATCTGCTTTTAAGGAATAAAATAGCATTTTAATATCTTTTTGCTTGCTTATTTGGTGTGTTTTGAATCGACACCATTAATAAAGACCACATTTATTTCACATAATGTAAAATTAACTGGAATCACAACTTGTATGGACATTTTTGCATCTTAATTTAATTCTAAATCTTTCTTTGGTTGGCTGTATAGATTGTATAGTAGTTATCACACTCAGCACTGAGAATGTATGGTAGTGCAGACTAGGTTCCTAAGGCTGCTTGGTAGTGTTGCAGGAAATATTACCAAATTGCAATTGGCAATCTGTAGTAGGCGTTAATGACTTGTGGTGCAGCATTTTCAAAAGGAGATTATTGTGCACCATTATCAGACGAAAATGTTGGTTCCTCTTGTTAAATTACAAAAAAATGTCTGCATAATTCCCCTGACCTGCCTCACAAATGATGAATGTAATTTTGCTTGCATCTTCTTCTATAAAAGTACATTGAATTGGATGTGTAATTTTTAATTTAAATGCTTTAATTGCCAAGTGTTGGGATATTGAGGAGTGATCTCATCCCAAATTAGGTTGAAGATAATTAAATACACCCCCACGGTGAAGTAATGCTTTAAAAAAATAGGTCACAATATAACATTCAGCAGTGGCCTTAACTAAACTTTCATACAAAAATTCCGATTAATACTTTTGAGAAGAAAATGAAAAACGTAATGCCTCGTGGATTTGAGTTTGCATCGCATGTAGGATAAAATTTGACGTGTGTTTTTCCAACACCCAAGTAAGCATCATCTTGTGCGTGCATATCTGCTTCGGTGCGCACACTCATATGGGTGCATGTTGGCATGGCTGGTCACAGAACCCCGAGCGGGAGATGACCGAGGAGGAAGTCCTGTCGCAGGTACGCAAGGGATACGAGACCCTCTGCACTCTCTTGACTGATCGGCACAAGAAGCTCAAGATTGTACTTGCGCTATGGACCAGCTGTGAGATAAAGGTAACCGAGCGGCTTTCTAATTCCTTAACATCTTGGCACCATGGTGGCAATATGTTAACTACCTCGCCTGGTATGCAGGAGGGCATGGGTTCGATCTCGACCCTAGTGCCTCTATACTTGGAGTTTGCATGTTCTCCCTGTGGTCGTGTGGATTTTTCTCCGGATCCTCTGGTTTTTCATTTAGAAACATGCATTTAGAAAATTTTAGCTGCTATAAATTTCCACATGGTAAGCTACTTATTTAAGCTGTTTTTGGTGGCCAGGTTGCTTCTGAAAAAAGCTGTATAGCTCAGTGGGCCTTACCTGGTTAAATAAAAATAGTTTAGTTTAGGTTTAGACAGCTTTGAGATGTAAGCATGGCACTCCAAACATCTGTACATTTTTGGTGACGTGAATGGAGTCACTCTGGCGTTTAGCACCAGCTATTGTCACAAGAGTGGAAGTGTGCGTCTTGAGACTCTCTGATACCAGAGTAGGGATGGCATGGAAGCGGGCCCAAGCGGACATGGTTCTGGTGACGGTCAGAGAGAGGGCAAGTGAGGACGTGACAGTCTGGGTGAACCCGAGAGGGCACGTGACCGGGACAGGGTAGTGAGGGGGCCCAAAGGGTGGCTTGAGGAACACGTGGTGCTCTGTCGAGAACCTTCTGGTGAGATCCAGAAGTGGACGTGGCCGAATGCGGAGCGAGGCCACGCTTGGGAGCATGAAAGGGAGGTCCTGAGAGCAATCGCGACTGTCTTCTGGAATCAACCCACCGTGCTACGTCTCTTTGGTCTTGGCTCTTCGGGCTGTCGTTACGCTCGGCTTCGTGGGTCAGGCAGTGCGTTACAGACTGACCCGGTTATGTAGTTACCCGTTGTGGTCCGAGTTACTCGTGATAGTCACCACCTATGTCGTTATCCCGTATGTTTATGCAGTTACCCTGTTGGGGTGTTATAATCAACGTGTTGCCTCTCAGTTCAAGTGTGTGCCTCCGTTACTGACATTAGATATAGACTGAAAGCCCATGATATTCTGTGTTTCAAGTGTGAGTAAATGCGACCCAATATGACCTCTATTTTTCTTCATTTCTGTTTCATATGTGTATGAATAGATGTTAGTCGTTACAACAAAGCACCTGTATTGACACATACAGGGTAGTGGCGCACTAGCACTACAAGAGGTAAGGGTTGCATTTCCAGGACATTATAGATCTTGCAGCATTCAACAAAAGTCACACAATAAAATAAGTAAAATATGGATCGATTTCAATCAAAGGCATGGACGTAATGCGATCCAATGTGAGGCTGCTCATGAATGTGGTAACTGATGAGTTACGCTTAAGAAGAATTAGCTATTGCCAATCTACTTATCAATGTTTGTGGTGCCTGCATATTTGTGCGGCAATTTTGGTCAAGTATGTTCTCATTTTATTTCCCTTTATGTTCTATAAGAAGCAGTTTTAGGACATGATAAGCTGATTGTAGCTATAAGAAAAATCCCACTGATCTACAGTATATGTATATTTCCCTAATTATGTTATAGTTAAAATATAATAAGGTCAACCACATTTCTGTTACTGCCATCTCTTCTTTGCCACAAATACAAGCTTTAAACGGGCTCGTTCTTCACATGGAGATAGAAACCAAGTTGGGTGTGGAGATGTTAACCTCAAACAAGTGTGCTTCAAGTTTGAATGCAGATGATCCCTTGACATTGATGGCAATGTGAATGTAAGATTTGCGGTGGGATAAAAAAAATGACGACTGGTACTCCAGTTGAGATTATTCTCGTATTTGAATGTGTACTAAAATATAATGATCTGAGCTGGAAGAAATACCTTTTTGCAACAACAAAATTGCCACTGTATGGATCATGTTCTTTACTATACCGATTATTTTAGTTTACACACATTTTATTTACGGAATTTTTGTTTTCAGCGCAAATTTGTAGCCATGCAGAAAGCGTGACAATCTCAATGCTGTCGTGCACCAATGATGCTGGCCGCCCTCCACTAAATGATGTGCGGCGATGAAGCTCGGTATGTACAACATTTGTTGTGCGTGATTTTTCTTTCCGCTTGCACAGACGGCCATCGATGCTGCCATCTCCATGAACGACGCTGCCGTCATTAATGACGTCCTCGGCATCATGAACTCAAAGCCGTGAGTGTTAAATCGGAATGAGCGGGAATCAATGGGAGCTCACTCGTCGCTCTGCACGGTCTTATCCGTCGAATTAAAAACTGACGAAACGGCTTCTATTCAAGCTGTGATATGTAACCTTATCTGTAACAATAGGTCAACTTACATAGGGGCAGTGATATTTAAATCTGACTTTTTAGATTGCAACAGCCATTTTAACAGAACTGCATGATCAGTGTAACATTTATACAGGTCGTAATAATTTTTGGTATCACAAGTGTTTTTGAAATACCTCGTCAGTAAGTTAATATTTATTGAATAAATAAATAAAATGTGTTAGCAAGTATCATGTTACAATTCCCCCACCCCCAATTTTGATTCGTAGATTGTTTCTTCGTCAATGCCGCCATTCACGGGATTCTTATTTACATCTTTAATATAGCAGTTCTCACCACAGGCCACGACGATCTTGTGCAGAGGGGAAGGCTTTGAGATTGCCCCTTAGGGACCACCCCTGACTTAGATCACCCTCTACCCATGACACCTCGCTTATCTGTACTGGTGCGGTTAAAATGCATTTCATAAATAACTCAAATTTGTCAGCAAGTATCTTGTTACGAATCGGCCCACCCCAAATTATGATTCATAAAATTATTGAACTTCTCATGGTCCCAATTAGATTCAATTAGATTTTCTTGACATTGTGGTCAATGTAGTGGCTTCTTGTGCACTTTGACAACATTGATCCGTACACGCTCGCATTGTGCACTTGAGAATCGATCTTCATGAATTGGGATGCATTGTTACACCTCCAATTAATACTCAATGTTTTTTACTTGCATTCCAAATGCGGCACTTGCAATATGTAATGTCATAATGTGCTGAATCAGGGGTGCACTATATTACACTTGCCAAGCTCTACGAGTTTTACATCAATTGATGAAAAATCCTTTATAAAACTCAGAGCAGCATGCACTGGAAAACTATTTCACAGCACTTCTACCTCAAATGCCCGCAAGTGGCCTTTTTATCTATTGTACATTTTAGGGGGTGCATTTTCTCATGGCACAGTCGAACATATATTTTTTCATGTTAAGAAAGTTGAATTAGCCATGTAAAGCACAGAACAAAATTTTATGTCGTGGGTTTTTGTGCATTCATTGGAGACCGTGTTGAGATCGTCAACTCCTTACACTTGAACCCAGTTCTATAATGGGCCACTGCCCAGATTCGAACCCAGGATCTTGGCAGTGCAGGTTCAGTACTCTGACCCCTGAGTCTTAAAAAAGATTAAGCATACCTCGTAATTAATGTCTTTGATTTTTACTGTAGAATTTACACGCATCTCGCATCCATTGTTTGCACACTGAAGTGTGGGTGTGTAATGCGTTTGGATGATATTGGTCGCAAAAGCCTTCGTGTTAAACCAAGAAAATGGTTCTTTTGCTTTGTGATGCTAAGGCACAGCTTACTGATTTAAGCATAAACCATTCAATAGTCTATATAACGATTTCGGGCACTTCTTTGGCTGCGTTAATACATTGATTAAAAATGTGTTAAGAGTGTTGTGCTTCGTAAATAATTTGCCAGACCGCATCAGATATTGGACAAATAGCTTGTCATCGGGCTGCAGAGCTATGTGGTGAGCAGCAGACGGCACTGCAGCAAACGCTATTGTTCTAATCTTTAACGCTTATGCATCTGTGCTCCCCTTCTTCACCAACCCACAATGGGCTGCGTGGTAAAGCGTGGTTAGATAACCCTCGACACCAACACGGAGTCGTGCAGCCCTCGTCCAGAATTCAGTTGCCAAGCAACTATAAGTTCACCGGGACCTACACATGAAAAATATTCCTTGTCTCTCACTATTCACACTTATTCACAAATCCCATCTCAAGTACTATCATAGCTTCTTCCTAATCATACAAAATATATCGGCGTGAAAGTGTAATACTTTTGCGTCGTTAGTTTTTACATAAGGTTTGTTTTTGTTATGTTTACCAGAATTCTTTACGTGTGGCATTTCACAAAGCATCACCTGTGCACTCATCTTCTTGTAGCAAGCGATTGCTTGAGAGAGGGGCGTACGCACAACTCTACTCGTTACTGTGCAGACAGTGAGTGCCTGTTGCGTTTGGGCTGCATCAGTGCAACAAACAGGGCACCTTGACACATTCACAGCAGCTCAATTTCTTTGCAGCTGGCCACTTGTTTGTATTTATATATTGTCCATAGAGTCACTGCCGTCACCATTAGTAATTGCAGTTGGCTGTAGGCTTGCTGACAACTTCTATATATAATTATGCGATCATTTATTATATTCAAAAATGATATGGGGAATAAAAAATGTTGGAGATGTGACGTAAACATATGTTGCTGTATAACTACCTACTTGGCTTTTTAAAATTATTTTTTATTTTAAGATGGTATTTTTGTGGGTGTACATTCATTTAAAGTACTGTAGTTATTCGGTTGAATGATCGGCAAATAGAATGTCAAATTCTGCGATGGCGATCGAAAGACCAAAAAGCTCAGTCCACGATTACTCAATGTTCTTTCCAAAGCTCGATAATGGGGAGGGGCTTGAAATTACACAGCTCATTCAATATTACACAAGCACGCGTATTTTTATTTGCATAAATGTACATCTTTCTGGTTTTGTGACATAAGAGATATAACATGAGCCATCATCTTGCACCATTATCCGATAATGTTTGTCATTTTCTCTGTCATTCTGAGGGAGCAATAGCAAACGGTCTCGTGCTATCATACAAACACGTTATCGGAGCGGCCACTGTTAAAGGAGCCCTGTTATTAGACACACAGTGACTGTAAGCTTTCTTAAATTGTCATCGAGTATAGACATAACCGCAATAAATGTTGACATTTTCAGTAGGAGCACAATGCTGCAAGCCTCAGTGCTGTGATGATTACTCTGAAACGACTGCTGTTGGCGCAGATTGCATTGTAAAGATGCCGTGCGACAATGTACCATTACATCTAATCTGCCGAACACATGTTTTGTAACGCACAGCTGCTCGTTTCCAAAAGGAAATCGTAAGTGGCTTTTTTGTTTACATTGCACCAAAAGTCATTAGACCCGTGGTGTGAGATATTTTTTTCTGTCCGTTTTATTGGAACAATAAAGCGCACACTGGTGCGGTGGCATCAACAGTGTAACAGCAAACAACAACTGCGCTGCATTCCTGGTGAACCTGGCTTCCAGTTGCTGGCTACGATGCACACACTTATTAAGTTAACTGGGTGTAAAATGTATTTCTGTGTACAGTGGTGGTGGTGGTGAAGTATGGTTAAACAGCCCCCCCATGACTGACATTCCGTATCAAGTCTTCATCCAGCAAGGGATCTACAAAGAGCTGTACATTTTTATTATTCCAGTAATGTGGTCACCGTACACATTAGGGAACAAAATCAACCCCAAATATTGATGGCCATACCCCCCCTACCCCCTTGTGCTGGGCCAGCTTCAAGAGGTGCTTTCTCATCACTCTTATTCTGATAGTTTGTAAAGAGATACGTGTACTTTTTTGGGAGTTGGTATTTGTTTAAAATGGGTATGCTTGTTGCATATAAATGTGTGTGTGTGTGTGTTCCTTTCCATGTGCTTGTGTGGCAGCTCCCTTTGGAGGCTGGACCTATGCCCAGCACTCATCCCTCAGATAGAAAAGCTCCTGCATAGCAAATATGAGAGGTGAGTGTGTGAGTGGTGGCAGGGGTACTTGCTTTGACAACCTTGGCTTGAAATTGCAATATATTTGCATAGCTTACAAGTGGTGAGGTACAAGATGACAGGTTAACCCACAAAGCCCCCGATGATTTTAAAATCTAAGCTGTAGCACTGATTACTGTGGCCTATTGTAAAGTCATCTTCCATAACATTACTTGTAAATAAAGCATCAAAATCTGTTATTTCTAACGAGCTGAACCCAGATAAAAAAAAAATGTACTTGTGTTTTTACCTCTCGTAGAACCTCCACTCTCTACTCCCTCCATCTCTCCACTCTCGCCATCTCTCCACTCTCTCCTGACTTGTCACTTGCATCTCAGACAGTCCCAGTCCCATCTGCCAGGCCTCAAGCCTCACTCTCCCTTCTCCCTATCCACTCAACTCGGGCTCTTATTCTGTGTCCTAAGTCGTTCCATATCAACAAAGCTGCACCTGTTTCTGTAGTTGTATAATGGTGTATTTCACTGTGTATCCACAAGAGGGCTGTATCCAAGACTTGCAGCCAAATGTAAGCTTGGGCATGCACCATATTAATATTATATAATAAGAAGAATTGTAATGGTGACTATTGAAATATATAACTGTAATAATATCATCAATTGTACGAGTCTTTGTTAGAAGTTAAACTCATTTTCTTGGTTCTTTCGGTAAAGTCACGTAGAAGGGAAATAATAAAATAATATAAATATAAAACAATAAAAAATTCTCATGACGTTTTGACTGCAACACAAGCAATCATCAGGTGTGAAATCCACAGCAAGAAAATTTGAAAAAAAGGATTTCACACATGATGATGATTGCTTGTGTTGCAGTCGAAACGTCGTGAAAATGTTTTATTGTTTTATATTTATATTATTTTATTATTTCCCTTCTACGTGACTTTACCGAAAGAACCAAGAATATGGATCCCTGCAGTCACGAAAGCTTTAATTAAAATTTTTATCTCATTTTGTTCCACTCTCAAAGCTCTTCTCCATTGCCCATCCTCTTCCCTTCCCTCGTCCCTCCGCTCCGTCCCATCCCTCCTCTGCCCTTGCGTGACCCCCACATGCCCTCTGTTATGGTCACTCATTCCTTGGCCCTTGTACGCCGCTTGCCATCTAAATAATTTGTTACGGCTTTCGTAAAGTGCCTTGAGCTAAGGCGATGTATAAATATAAAATAAGATTAGTTTGTAATATATTATGGGATTATGATGCAATTATTACACTAGGAACCACACACAAGGTAATTTCATAAGGATGCCTTCGAAGGAGCGTTCACAGACGGTCCCTGTGCGTGCGTGTAGTTACGTTCTCACCGGATGCGTGGCCCTCAAGATCATCCTGCAAAACTTTGCTTCGGTCATCAAGGGCAACCTGACAGTGCCGCCGTCATCCGTGGTGGACATCACACGTGAGGAGAGGTGAGCAGCCATATAGCTGCTGCTGCTGCTGTGGATACTTACTCTTTCACAATCATTAGAGACATGTCCATTTCAGGCCAATTTTTATTTTGGAAAATCTGCGGCTCTTAATTTTTCTGCTCTTTGAAATGATATAACAAAGCCGTTAACATCGTCTGTGCAGCGTATAGCATCCTTTGTTTACGCATTATCGAACGGAGATGGGATTTGAGTGGTTGAACCCTTGTAAGTGTTATAACTACTCGGGTGTTTGAATTGATGAATGCACAGGCCAGTGAATCTGCCTGCTGTATTCTGAGAATTACCTATGGTTAACTATATATATGACTATCATCACGACAGGAATAATAAATGCAGCACGATCTTTGAAGGGGACGTAATAAATGGTGATATTTCAAAGGAGTCGATGCCCAGAATACAATTGTGCCAATCATTGCATCTCAATTCGCGTAGTGCATTTAGAGTTTAATAGAAAGTGATTTGATATGGTCTGCCATGCAGCATGCGATTGGTGATGCAGTAGTGTAAATAATTGATGCTTTTATCATTGACTGGAAATTCTGTTGGCCACGGCTGACATGTTGTGGAAGACCCTGAGCTCTCCCTTGGAACCTGTGCGGATGGTGCATGCAGGGACGAAGGAGTAGTTGTCACAACAAATTGTTGCAAAGTACAAAAGCAGCCAACGATGCTAGGCCATGCGTAAAATGTGAAATGTCTTAATTTGATAACAAAAAATTATCCTGAGAGATTTATGGTTATCCTTTTTTGTTAGCACGTTTTCCTTATGCCACTTCACAACGGTCAAGCTGCTGCATAAGTAATACATGCATGATTGCATATCTTTGACTTCTCATGGTATAATATCTGGTGCTGTTTGTGCAGTATATGTTTCATACATTCAATCGGCACCTTAAATTAGAACCATGTACAGGTTCATGACTGTATAGTGTTTTATTTTAAAAGGGAGACCTTAATACAACTCGGTATGGCATTGCTCAGCTTGGGATTATTGATTTAAGTGAAAAGAACGCTTGGCTCCAATTGTTTTGTTGCTTGGATGTCATTGCAGAATAGTCCCAGTCACCTGTATTCCACCTCTGACGATGCATGTCAAAGCTAAATGCCGTTCTGCTTCATCCCTTGGTCTCGATTACGTTGGCTCCATCTGAAATTAACTCATTTTCAAGCAGGCTCAACAGCAGGAGACGTTAGTGGCCCCTTCACTTTTTTGCCCATGGTATTCATAATGAATGCTGTGTGAAAATGACTTGTTCCAGCAAAGAAACTAGATTTAAAATGGAATGTTTGCGTTTGTTCTTGTACGTGTGCACTACGCAGATATCAAAAGTGCAAGGTGTGCCATCGGCTTCTCATGAACCTGCGACCTCTGTTGGACAGCAGAAAGACTCGATCTGGACGTGTGAGCGGTGCCTTCCGTGAACTCGGAATGCTCATGATCACGTTCGATTGAGCTTTCCTGGCCAGCGCACACAAGTACCCTCCTCCTGGTGGCTCCTCAGCCGGAGGCACATGGAGCCCGGTGGAGCAGTGCACGCGAGCGCTGGAACAAGGCGTGGTCAGGGCTCCCCCCGACGTTCCGCCCGAGAACGGTTTCTCCCAGTGGGCCTGTCCTCGCAGTACGGCTCAACAAGTTGTCATTGATTACGTCAGCTGCTTCATATATTTTTCTTTTGCAGCATGACTGGAATTTACAATCTTCATTTGCAACCGCCATTGCTCTAGGCACACGGAAGACACTTGCGGTATGGAGACGGGACGGTGCTTGATCACTGTGGGTCACAGTCAAGTGGAGGAAGATTGTTTTTTTACAACTCAACTGTGGTGTGATCCAAGTCTAGTTTTATTTTTTTCTTCAAAAATGTGGAATTCACTTCTGAGAAACGGAGTGGTCAGATTTGCAGAGTGCCTCTTGTGGCGCAGAAAACAACATCACGCAAGAAGGAAATGCAGTGCCTCCCTGATGCGTATGGCAGAGGGGGGGGGGCGGCCCGCTTTGCGCCGTAAAGAACATGTGTTGAGACGCTCATTCATTCTGCCGTGAAACCAGAGAGGCTCGGAATAACACAGCCCCTGAACCCAGAAGGAGTTGAAAAAGAACAGTCGTAATATTCGCGAGGATGGTGATGAAGCCACTTGGAATAAACGCAACTCTTGAAACGTTTTTTGTTGCTTGTGAAGCATTTGCATTTATTTTTAATCGGGGACTTGCTCTGCGATTGCACATGCAAAACATGCGGTGGAGTGTACGCATGCTGCTGGTTGCTGTGGCCGAGAGAAACGCCGCATTGTAAGGAGCTGGCTTCAGCTGTGCCTCTCGGGCTGGTTGAGAACCTTGCCTCTTTGAGATGTGTCTTTAGCACGTACAGTGGTCCCTGCAGAAGCCTTTGGATGACCCGTGACCAGTGTGTGATTCTTTTTTTTGTTTATTTGGGAGAAGATCCTGAGAGGGAAGGGTGCTTTGTTGTGCATGTGTCGCTCTGCCCGTGCCTCCATTGCATCGCGTTTAGTCTCGGCGTTGTACAACTGTGATAATGGCACGGTCAACAAAACAGAAAGTGAAAGGTAAAAATCACAATTATTTCCCTTCAGGAAAGTGTGTACGAACGTGTTTGTTGACGTCGATCTTTTTGTATATATAGTGACTTTCTTTTATATTTTGTTGTCAAACAAAAACTATTTCTAAGCACTATAACATTTGGCAGTTAATATGCACTAATACTTGTAAAATACACTTAAGCATATTGTGTAAAGAAAAAAAACTGCCAAATTCCAATATTTGTGACATCTCTGCCCAGCATTGCCGTGTAAAGGGGCATACACGCGTGCTCGTGTAAGCGCACGCATTTACACTTGTACAGTGTACACTGAAGAATCCCACAACAAGCTGGAGTGCATGGATGAACTATGCACAACCTCATTACGCCAGAAGGTAGCCATCGTGTTCCATGTGTTTATGCAGACTCCCAAGAAGTACCTTGGTGTGCCTGATTTCCATCTCAAGAACCCTGTCAGCTTTTGCTTAGCTGCACCAAATGAGTACTGCAGAGAGCAAGGGGCATGCCTTATTAAAAACAAAAAAAATTGCAGGTTGAGTGTGCAGGCATAACAACTGCATCTGAACAACTATAAACAATATTTATTGTTCTTTCGGTAAAGTCACGTCGAAGGTAAATAATAAAATAATACAAATATAAAACAATAAAAATTCTCACGACGTTTCGACTGCAACACAAGCAATCATCATCACGTGTGATGATGATTGCTTGTTGCAAAAAATATTATTTCCCTTCTACGTGACTTTACCGAAAGAACCAAGAATATGAATCCCTGCAGTCACGAAAGCTTTAAATCAAAATTTAACTATAAAAAATGTTTGTGCTTTCGAGTCAACTCTTAAACGTTTTGTTTTCTTTGAAATTAAAAAGTAACACCCTTGCTTCGGTTTTATTGTGATTGGTGCCAGTGTCCATTTTTGGCTAGGGTTATGACACGGTGCAACTCTGTAAAAATGAGACGTCAACTTCGGTGTACACTGCAAGCGAATGGATGAGGTACTTACTTCCCCGTGTGACATTTGTGTTGGGGAAAAATGGGTGGTGTGACATGCATTACTAATGCGGTGAGACACAACAAAATTATAATCTTAGAACATTACCGCTGCACTGGTATATGAAGTTTGTTTGGTATTCTATTTTATAAAGCCACGTTTCCAAAATGTATTGTAAATTTATTACATGCATTTAAATTATACGGATGGTTTTCTGCAATGGCAAATAACATTTGGAATTTTGATTCAGCTCCTTTGAATCTTACGTCTTTTATTAGCGACAAATTAGGTCAAAAAATAATGCCATGCTGAAATACTACAAACTATTGGTGATTGGTTAGTCAATTCAGGGTCAGCTGATGCTGTCAATGAATATTAAATGAATGCTTTCATCTGCACCTTTGTTTCAGTGGGGGGGTTAATGTGAATGTGATATCAAGCATACCTTACGAAATATTCGTTAACATTTCGGTAAAAATACATGTACTGTAGGTTTTGTTGTGCCCTGTAGTGGATGGGCTTATCTGAAATAACCCTAGCTCTGATCACATTCACCGCTGCAATTACTGTCACTGACCGCACCATTTAAAATAGGCCATACGTGTGACTTCATTCAACACGAGTAATGATCACTATGAAAGGACCATTTCTCAAGAACCCCCTAGTAATTCCTGCATGCGATTACAACACGTCCAGTATAAGTGGGAGAAGTAGTTTATATATTCTCCATGTCTGAGAGTGCTAACCATCAGGGGCTTTTCAAAATGTACATATTCATATTGGGTCTTTTTTTGCTTAATATTCTTTTTAGGGCTATTTAAATTTGTATTGGATGGAATGGAATTCAAAATAAAACTAGTTTGTGCTTTTGTTCATGCTGACGTTTGTGTTTCTCATTGTGTGACATTGCAAATGCTGAAGAGTGAGCTAGATTAGTTTATTTGTATATTTTCCCCAGTCTGCGGGGAGTGTCGTATTTGTAAACGCAATATGAGCGCGTGAACTTGTACGTACACTTGTGAGCGCGCATCTTGCACTTTCACTGCCTTCATTTGGATCCTTATGTTATGCAGGCCTGCATATATTTTGCATCAATGAAATTTTTTTGGCACAAAGTCGTAAAACCACAAAATTATACCGTATTTTTCCCACTGTTGCATGGAAAAGACGTGTTTTGTCTTGTGCGAATGGGAATTTATACAAATCCATGTTATCTGTATTTAAAATCAAACGCATTAGGGAATATGTACCTGTATTTCCCACCAGTGATGTATATGTACCATATATGCATATTTATTTACACAGAAGCTTTTCCATTTCCATGTGTAGTGTCAACGATTCAGAGAGAATTTCTAGGAGGCACCGTTTGAACAACTTTCAGGGTCTCGTCCACACACTCCACAGCTGCTTAGCATAGCATGTACACAACGGTAGCCGTCAAACACTGACGGCGCTGACTGAGATAGCCAACTACTATCCTTCGTAGCACAACATCTAGCGGAGACGTTTAGTGACGACGGCGACGAGACGACAGCGACGATGAGACGAGTCCACTCCCAGAACCGGCAGCCCTGAGCCCCCCGCTCTCAGCTCCTTTTATGCTAACAGCACGGCCTGGCTCCGCCCTAACCGCGCCTCCCTTCTAGAACCCGCTAGCAGGTTCCAGGGACCTCCAGATGGGGTTCTCCGTGACCCTTACCCTAGTTCCGCTCTGCCAACACACAAGGTGCTCGCGCTCACCGGCGTGTGTACCGTCTGTCCACCACAGTTGCCACTGCTGTCCACCAGCCAGCGCTATTGCACTACACATGTAATAGAAGACTGGCATTTATCATGGCATTTCCTCTGTCATTTTGGAGGAAGTCACGCGTCATCCGATCTCTTGGCAGTATTGGTGGATCATGCAAGAGATGAGGTCTTTGTGAGATGTACACTGCCTGCAAGAGGCAGTATAGAAAGTCGGTATCTGATGTATCCTTTCGTCTGCGATCTTCCCTCTTGCAGCATGGGATTTCTCCAGGCACTTGAAGTCTCAGCTGCATCTCGAAAGCAATTTTGACCTATGGTCAAAAGCGATACCCCCTCTGGAATGGATTGTTTACCAGTTCACCCCCCTTTTAACGCAACTAACACGTGTGCGCGCAAAGTAGAATAGCTGAGCTAGGGAAAATCGACAAAACGTTGACATCGAGCGCTGCCTGCATTATAATACATTTAATTGCGTAACATTTATGACAACATGCAAACCTGACGTGTAACACGACCGCTGCGTTTAACAGTTAACACAGTAACATGTTAATGGACCTGTGTTAATTTCCGCCGTAGTGACCACGTGCTTTGCACTATTAATATAACAATTTGGATATGTATGGTTATTGTCGAACCTTGGATCGTTCATCCTACAATTCCATAGATTATTGCATGGCAGTATTAATGCTTTCGAGTGAAGTTAATTTCTTGGGAATTGGCGCCAACTTTGTAGGAGTGCAACACCTGAAAGGCTTATATGCACACACACAAAAAATTGGGTCGTGGTAAAACCGCGTGGCGAAAGTTCCACACCCGCTTTTGCTCGGGAAACCGAGTCGACTCGTATGTTAATGACCTCATTGTGACGTCGGCTCTTTTGTCACGTTGCGGATTTGCCTGGGAATTGGGAGAAGAGGAGGAGGGGGCTGCTCTGTGTGCTCGGTTTCTTAGAAGAGTCGCCGGTAGTGAAACTTTTTTTTTAGCCAACAAAGAGTGCGGGCTCAACAAAGGAAGTGGGAGAAATGGGCCTCAAGGCCTTCCTGGGTAATCATGCAGAGTATATGCTCGGAAGCTAATTAGGCGTGAGTACTTGGATGGGCGACCGACCGGGAATACAGCAATTTGGGGCTGCAAGTGGGGGGCCAGGAGATGGCAGTGCTGCAATAGGGTTTTCAACAGCACTGCATCAATTGTGTACGCGTGGATTTTTCTCTGCGCACTTTGGTTTTTTTCCAACGTGCAAAATAATTATTTAAGAAATTGGACAAAAATGTCCAAATTCAGGACTCTCCTGAAGACGAGTCTCGTAATTCAGTGAAGTAAATTGAAGGGCATTATTTTTGTAATGACTGGCAACGTGGAGTGTTTAAGGCAGTGAAGTCCCCCACTCCTAATAATACCACGTCACTAATAATGAAATCCAGGTGTGTTGCCTTTAAAACTGTGATTGCTTGCTGACAAAACAAGGCACGAAATAAAACACCCACATACACTCAACAGAATGAGGCTCGGCTCTTGTCGTATCCAGTAGAATCCATCCATGCACCTCTATATCCTTAACAGTGCTGTTGGCGAGCGCCTATGAAGGCCGGCACGGCACACGATGCGATGGGTGGTCGGCACCACGCCCATACATAACATCACAACCGCCATTCGCCACGAAATGTTGGTGACGTCACCACCACGCTTGTGCCAGGCTATATGCACGTTGAGGCCACGTGAAGTGTCAAACGCCCGCTGGCAGAAGGTCACGGGGCAGACCCCGGTGCCAGGGGTCGACTGACTAAGATGACTGGCTGATGCACCATCTGTGCCCCTGACTGTGCCAACTTGCTGTGCTTTAGCCACCCGGTGCTCCGCTCGTTGTTGTGAGCGTCGCTCCTCCGCCCTCTGTTGTTTTTAGAGGGTGACTGCCTCCACCTGCCCAGTAGCGTCCTTCACGAGCCTCCTCCACAGAGGCCGATCTTGACACCGCTGGTACCAGTCATTGGCAAGTCCGCTCAGTTCCACATCCTCCTGTACCACATAACTCCATCTTTTCTCCACCCTGTGCCGCGCCCGTTTAGCCCCCTCGATCCAGCCGAACAAAAGCTGTTTAGGCATGCAGTGGCTGGGCATGCGGGCTACATGACCCAGCCAACGCAGCCTTGCCTGCCGAACGAGCTCACCGATGGGGCTTTGTCCAAATCTTTCAAGGATTTGTGAGCTCACACAATCCAGCCTGGTTAAACTCAGGATGGATCGTAGGCAGGCCAGCCTAAATGTTTCTAGCCGGCGAAGATGTTCCATTAGGGGGGTCCACGTTTCGCAAGCGTAGAGAAGGGAGGGAATGACTGTGGCCGAAAAGACCTGAAGCTTCGTGCGGAGCGACAGACCAGGCAGCTTCCACACAGCATTACGCAACCGAGGAAAAGATAATGCCGCTCGACTGATTTGGAGTGAGACCTCTGCTGTCAAACCGGAGCCGATCATGAGCACACTGCCCAGGTAGGGGAAACTCTCCACTCTCTCTCTCCACAACTGCCCTATCACCAATTGGGAGTTGTGGGGTGGAGTGTCCGATGGTACAGAATAACCAGGCAGGTGCTTAGTTTTGGTGGGGCTGATTGAATTTATTGCACCTCTGCTGTAGCAGACAAACAGAAAATATGGCACCTGTGCAGGACCGCCCTTTCCTGAAACCTGCATTGGGGCTCAGCAAGCCTCTCCTCAGTGTGCCTGGTAAGGTGATGTTGAATAATACTTGCCAGGACCTTCCCAGGAGTGAGATGCCCCTTTAGTTATTACAGTCTGTGCGGTCCCCCTTCCTAAAGAGGTCCCCCTTTTTAAAGAGGGGGACCACCAGGGCATCGTTCCAATCCTGCAGAACCTGCCCAGTGGTCTAGACTGTTGTTATGATGTCATGTAGAGAAGTCTGTGCACAAACGCCACCCTGCCTCAGCATTTCGCTTGGGAGATCATCTCTGCCCGGTGCCTTTCCTGGTCTCAGACTCTAGATCGCCTTCAGTACTTCCTCAACAGATGGCACCTCAACCAGCCACTCACAGGGGGTGACTTCCTCTTCCAATATTTAAGGCACCGCAGCCTCAGCAGGGTCATCCCCACTTTGTCCCACGATGTTTGCCAGGCTGAGGGATTCCCCTCCCCCAGGACCTCACAGAAATGCTCAGAAATATCTGCAAACCTGTTCCTGGGGGTCGGAGATTGGTTCACCGTTGAGGCAGACTCCATCTCCTCAGCAACCCGCGACCACCACCAAACTTTGCAGCGCCTCACGGCTCTCCGAACCTCCAAGCGAAGGCTGCAGTAGGCCTCCTCATTCTCTGACGTGGGATATTGTAGACGATGAGAGTGGGCCTGTCGCTTTTTCTCAGCCAGCCTGAACACCTCTTCTGTCAGCCAGGGTCTCTGGGGAGGTCTGTACCGTGTACCCAAAGGAGCCATTGCAGCTGCATGAGCCACAGTCCTAAACCTCGCCCATTTCCTCTCGACATCAGGAGGAGTGGGGAACGATGCCAACCCTAGCCACAAGCGATGATGAAATTCTCGCTTGCAACTTTCATCAGCTAGCTGAGACCATGCCACTATGAGTTTGAATGGGGTGTACATCCACCACCGGAGGGGAATAATGGCAGGCGCATCTTACAGATGACAAGTCGATGGTCAGTGGACAGATCAGCTCACGGCGGTACGTCCTGGTGTCAAGGACATGGGCCCGCATCCACTGTTCCGTCACTATGTAGTCCAGCAGATGTTCTTGCTTGGACCTGGCATGCATCCATGATGTGTGGATTCGCCGATGCCGGAACAGCTTGTTTGTAATTACAAGCCCATGGGCTGCACAAAAATCTAGCAGCCTCCTACCGTTGTTATTTAGCTAATCTGGCCCATGCCTTCCAATCACTCCAGGTGTTAGCATCATGACCAACTCGGGCATTGAAGCACCTGTGACAGGAGGTCATAGAAGGCATCCGACTCATCAGCCTTGCCTGCATCCCTCCACGGATGTTCGTCTTCAGTCGGGGCATAAGTAACCACGACCACCACTCCTCGCCTCTGGTTGATGGGAAGGCGAGCCCAAAGTATCCTGGGGATTACAGCTTCCCACACCTCACCGCCACGCTCC